AAGATCATATCTGTAGGAATTCAGAAAATGCATTGATTTTGGATTCACGACGTCAAGAACAGCTGCCAGCGTTCCATCAGTCCGCAATCTTCACGCCTAAGCGAAATGTAATATTTTTGTTTTTGCTAGTGAACATAATATATGATAGTTTAGTTTACTCTATTTGTTGATGTTTAAAATTAGATATCCCCAATTTTCACGAACTTGTATTTTTCCAGATGTATTCACCCACAATCAAAAGCATGACAAAACTGGATGAAAGTTCTACAGACAGGGAACCGGTAGTTGCTCTAGTAACAACGGAATTTGTACCCTGGTGTACGAGGCGATTTACTGAACCAATTTTGGATGTAATACAGGGTTTGTAATTAAATTAATTTTTTTTTCCTGTTCATACTGAATCTTCTCTAGGATAGAAACAATCGTTTATCTTTCTTTAATTATAGGAGAAGTTGGTGATGGCATAGCTGATCGTTTGGCTACTCATTCCATGCCTAGTGATTGGGCATCGCATAAAGATGAAGGTTTGCAGCAAACTTCGAAAAAGGAAATTCGGGCACTTAAGGAAGAGGTTCATCAATTGTCAGATTTTCAGAGTTTTTTTTTTTTTTTTTTTTTTTTTTCTGACAGTGATTTCTTGATGGTAATTACAGCTAGTAATTAGGACGAAAAATGACCCATCAGAAATTGAAATTTAAAGAAAATAATATGGCAGATTGCATCGTAAGCCACATTCTGGATGAATCATTCACAGCCCGATCATTTTAATAATCAGTAATTACATTGTACTGGATGGCGAAGGAATGCTATTGATGTTAAATTTTCATCCTACTTTTCAACCTCCTTTATTGGGAATTGGTCCTTTTCTAGTCTTTTTTCTTTTCAGGGATTATTTTTCGACGGCCATCCACTGATTGTAAAGACAGATGCGGTAAGCAAATGTTTGGCTTGGAGTCAAATAAGACCTCACTTATATTCATGCGATGGCGAAGCAGTGACTATTTGGCGATGCGAATTGCAGCGATTGTACGATGTCCGAAAGTTTTTGTGTCACAACAATAATCCCTTCGTTAATGTTAGCAGTTCCGATGTTGATTAAAAATGCTTTTTAGGAGGAACTCTGCAATATTGCTTCCCGCAGCTATGAATTTCGGACCGTAAAATGCCTTCTCTTGCTTATTAGTTTCATAGAAATATTTCACTTTAGAAAAATTTACTGTTCCATTTTTGTTTTGGAGATGACTGATAGGAATCCTTTATTTTCTCCTATTTTGGTTATCATTAAACTGATTAAATAGGAATTTTAAGCGCATGATGAAAATATCGAGTTGTTTAATATGTGTATTATCATGCTTGACATAACGTCTGTATCCTGCGGTAAATGAGTAAACATTGGATAATTAGATAATGGTACAGTATTATGAAGGGAAAAACCAGTGTCTTAAATTTATTTTAATTCCATTTTAGGATATAGTTACTGATCTACACGTAATAAATGAAATGACACGTGAACTGGTAGTGACTTGTAGTGATGATGGATTGATGAGAATTTGGGATCCAGGATATTCTATCTATTCTCATGATTTCGAGGCGGAACAGCAGATGATAACAGCTGCTTATCTGCTAAAAGATGTGCCGATTAGCATTCCAATGAATAAGCATCTCGCATCGGTTTTTAGGTTTTTTTTTTTTTTTTATTTCGTATGTTTTCTGAAGAAATAATTTTTAGGCTTTCTGTGTAACGCAGTAGTCTATCGATATAATGCGATTGCACACGGAGCATGCTTACAAGAAACTGAAAAATAACTGTAAAATGCATAATGCATAACATTAATTAGTCTAGTTTTTCTCCAGAGTTATAACTTTAGACAACATATAGAAAAATCATGTAACTCTTTCAGCATATTTCAAGTTATTTCATTCCTTCTATTATAATTTATCTATTTAAGTTGGAATCAAAAATGTGGCCTTATGGCAGTTTCTGGTAATGTGAAGGTGTGTCGTTTGTGGGACGCCCATGCAGAAAAAAGTATGCAAGAGATTCAGATTGGTGCTAAAAATTGTGCTGTCACAAAATTGAGTCTTGATAATTCAGGGAGTAATCTTCTTGCTGTTGGTATGGTTCTCTTCTGTTGTATCTCTAATATTTAGAGATATTGGAAATGCTTTTCATTTTCGAGTAATTAGCTCACGAATTTAGGTTTCAAGTTTGTTGGCGATCTTATTGATTTAAAGCATTTTTTGAGGTCTAAGTGATGGATTAGTGAATGTCTACGATCCAAGATTACCTGATAAATCGCGACGTACAATGTCATCTCGAGAGCTTGAAAAACCAGTTATTGGATTATCACTTTTTTCTAATCTGGCTGGTGAATCTTCTGAAGGAAACCTGAGACTAGTCGCTGGTTCAAGAGATGGCGAAATACGTTTGTGGGAGCCACGAATGTTCAAGGTATGCCTTTTATTGTTTTTTGCGAAAAATTTTAAAGTTGATATAGGTTTAGTGTATGTTGCGTTTTAACATAATTTAGTTTTGAAGCTGGAATTAGTTGAAATTTGAAATAGTTAATTCATAAGATTTAAATTACAGGAACCGGTAGTTAGTTTTAACGCTTGCAGCTTCCCAAAGAAAGACAGCTTAACAAATATGGAAGTTCATGTCCACAGTCAGGTATTTCTTTCATATGTTCTTTTGAATGTTGAAAAATTCAAATCATATCTAATGTTGTGCGAAAAGTTATGCCGACCAATGCTGTTCTTCAAGGACATGTTGGCGACAAAATTCGCTTACTTTTTCCAAGTTCTTTATGTCTTGTATGGAATTTCTGATTTTTCTATTCTAATGGCTCTCTAAAGAATCATTCATATACCAACGAAAATCTTTTCAGTATATTCTTGCATTTCCGCAGATTGTTCCAAAAGATGGGTGAAATTTTAGCTTTTTAAATATTTTGTTTCGGTTACAGCATGGTGCATTACTGGTTGTTGAAATTAGTCTATATGTTTTGTTTGAACAGTTAGCGTGACAAAAACTTTTGGCACTCTAATGATTTCAATTAAATTTAATTTAGCTGAGTAAATTAGATCAATTTTTATCTAAAATTCATTTTAGTGTATTGGTTGTATGGATGATGCTTCCATGGTAAAGTTGTTTGATCTGAACGGCAAACAGCTAGGTGAAATTCGTCAGGATGATTGGTTAGTTAGTGGTCGGATCGGAACATTGATATCAATGCGTTTTCATCAGCTACTTGTCTCATTAGCAGTTGCTACTGAAAATCAAACAATTAGTTTTTATCGAATGCCGGATTTATCGTGATTTGTTTGAATTATTATATTTTGTTTTCTTTTTTTTTAAATTTTGTTTTCTAGTCCAATTTTATTTGCGTTGCTCTGGCTTCATTATGGTTTTGTGGTATTCCTCATTACGTGACTGCTATTTTCAAGTACAAATTTAACTTTTGCTTTTGTATTTAGAATATTTCTGAAATTAAAAGAAAAAAAAAGTTATTTTTAGTTCTCCTAATTTTCCTCAGTTTATTACAATTCTGACAGATATAATTGTGCTTACCCACTTCGATAGAAATTGATATGAGCAAAATAAAGATTTGGAACAGGGAGATCCTTGAAAATTCATTTCTCAGGTAGATCTTATTGCTGGAACTGGATTATTGTTTGGATATTTGTCTTTTAATTTTGACTGTTGCTCAAACGATTTTATGCACTATAACTTTTCTTATAATTTTCAGTGAATTTATGTATATATTATTAAGCTCTCCTTATTCTGCACAAGCCTTCCAGCTGTATTATATTGCTTGTTGTCTGCAATTTTTCTCTTTCATGGAGTGGCTTTATTTGTCACTGATAATGATTTTCCAGAAGGTTTTAGGATGGAGGATATTATATTAAGTATGCTGGTGATTTCACGCGTATTTGAAATATTTTAATGTTGGGCTATGAGGAAAACTCACAGTGCTATTGTTCTAATTGCACTTGTAATTTTTACCATCTGAAACTGAGATAATATAGACGTTAATTTTTTAGAATTTTAGAGTTATGAAATTGTTTAGTATACATTCCTAATACTATTGGCGCTGCTGACTGCAGTTTTTGGGGAGCCGTGAGAACTGAGGTATTGGATAGCTGTAGTATTAGAAAAAAAAAATTTACGGGTAGGCACTCAGACAGCCAGTATGGCATCAGGAACGACTGAGTTCTAAATTGTCTACGAGATATTTCCTAATTTATTTCATCTCTCTTAAGGTAGGGGTTATTATTATGTTGAATTTTTGCATCTATTTTAAGTATTTTACGTTAAAATTCAGTACCTTTAATTTTAGTTTTGATCATAGTACATGAATGCTTGGCATTCGTATCGTTACGAATAAGTACCTGCGTAGTTTATTTTTCCATACAGCATGTCTCGAATGCCCATTTAATATCTTTTCAGTATCATTAGTAATCTTCAATGGTGAAATTTGGTAGATTAAGAAAATCAGAATATTTAACCTTAGTTTGCTGGATTATGACTGCCAATTTGGTTGATTTTCCTTTTTTACGCATTTTTACTTCACAGTATTACAAATGCTTTGTTCATTCAGTCCTGAACTGAAATGAAAATTTTTGGATTTTGCTCATTTTGTCATTTTTCTTTTGTTAATTGGTCCGCTGCATTATATATCTTGTAAATTTTTGGAAGATAATGTTATGTTTATATGTTTTTTTTCTCTTGTTTTAAGTGAATGAATGAATTTTCAAATTGTATAGAATCAAGCGCATTACAAACGCAATAACTGCTTTATTTGAACTTGAGTTTGATATACAAATTAAGTGCTTATTATTCATATTTAAAATATATTAAGGTAAAGAGAGGAGGAATGTGGTAATCATTAAGAAATATTAAAATGAATTGCATTTAATATTCAGGATTGATCTACATCTGTAGCACGAAGAAGCAGATTTTGGTACTTTTTTGATTACATAACTCTCATTACTTTCAAATGCGTCTAATTCTTCGTCGATTTTCTCGGTCAGTAATTCGCTTGAAACATGAAGCTCAGAAATGTTTGAAAGTTAGTTCTTTTTTATTTGTTGTTAGCATTGGAAATAAATGCAAAATATTTTGAGGCGTTATGGTAAAGGTGAGGTTACTCATTTCTAAATGCTTTAATTCATTTGCAGTAATTCCAGGTAGCAGTAATTGGTCCACCAAATGTTGGCAAGTCACTGTTGACAAATAAATTGGTGAAAGCGGGTGTTGCAGCAGTGAGTTCTCAGATGGATACGACACAGAAAAATCAAACAGCCATTGTTACTGAAGGCTCATCACAATTAGTATTTGTGGATAGTCCTGGAACAGTTGGCATTAGGCATGCAAGAGAAATTGTGAGAAGTCCTGACTCACGCATATTGAGTGGTAAGTTGCGTAAATAGATTTGATTTATTATTTAAATGAAGACCTGAAATAAATTGAATTTTTGATTTTTAGCAAGGTGTGAAGTGAACCGAACTTGAATTAAGCTTAAATATTTCAAGAAAGGAGATTAGTGATTCTCTAGTCTAAAATTTAGTAATTGATTGTCCACTTAATATTAACAATTAAATAATGTAACTTGAAGTATTAAACTCGATTCCTGTATCACAACACTTGTAATTATAAGTCCTAGCGCTATAAAATTTCTTATCGTAGAAAATCGAAAATAGAGAAGTGAAAATTTTTTTTTATAGATCCAGAACATGCAGTGGAACAAGCAGATCATATTCTAGTGGTACATGATGCTACAATATGTACTGATTATATTTTACATCGTGTGCTACATATGCTTCATCGTTATCGACAAATTCCGTCGAGTTTGGTACTTAATAAAATTGATCAAGTTAAGCAAAGGTTCTTTTACATTTTATTCATTTAGATTATTCTTCATATTTAAAATATTGTGCGTTTTTTCTTAATTAATATAAATTACGTTAAAGTTAGGATTTAAAAAATTATATTAAATGGCATCATCTATCAATGTGATGAAAGTGTTTTTAAAATAGTAGAAGTTATGATGTCTGTTTGTCGAATAACGACTGACATATTATCTTATACAAATGACTGACATATTATCTTTTGTTTATCGAGTAACGGTGAAGAGAAAAGCATACTACTAAAAAATATGCTCAAATATCTTTGTATTTCTTAAAATATTCTTATTTAAGATCTGATTTGTTAGCTCTTACTCGGGTTCTATGTAATGGTCTTGTGGATGGTAAGCCAGTTGTTGTCAAGAAGCATAGTGGTGGACAATTGGCCAAGTTATGTGGCAAAATATGCAAAACATCCCACGAAATGTCACTCCATCCTGCGGAAGAAAAAGAGCAAAATGAACAATGGCAAGAAAAATATAAGTAAGACAGAAAGGATCACTTAAAATACATCCATAAATTTTATGAATACTTTTAAACATTATGTTAAAGAAAGAACGAGAGAACTTAAAAATAAGAATTTGATGTAGCTAAATACGTTTCAGAGAGCTTCTACAAAAGCCTACACACAAGTGTAGTTGGGGTGAAACCAAACAACTTTTTGCAAATATCAAAGGATGGTCAAATTTTCAAGATGTTTTCTTTGTTAGTGCATTGACTGGCGAAGGAATAGATATGCTACGCGATCATCTTCACAAACTTGGTTTACGGAAGGTACTTTCCATCATTTTCAATATGGAAGTGATATTAGTAAAAATTGAGGCATGAAAAAATTTGGTGGTAAAAAAAAAAAACACTATAGATATTGGTTCAAGTTCAAATTTATCTAGTTATTTTTAGGAACATATCTTTAAGCAAGAAATGCTCACTACCAAAAAACCAGCAATTATATGCCAAGATGCGATTCGAGCAGAATTTTTGAATCGGATACCGCCTTACATTGCCTATACCTTGAAGGTAAGATACTCTATCAATATTTGATATAAAATTGCAGAAATGATAAGGCTTTCTCATTACTGTAACACTTTATCATTTTGTTACCGTAACTATTTCAGTAATAGTGGTAGAGTTTGAATTTTCGACTATCCGTATTATACAGCTTGGGAAGCGAAAAATTTTTTTCTTTTTCCTTCATACTTAGAATACGTTAAATTGTTGTCAGTATATCAGTGAAGCTTATATAAACATGATTGGTCAGTTTATATAGTATAACACCTTCTGATAATAATGGTATGAATGTATTCCTGAGCATCTCATTTTTGACAGCTGCTATAAAAAGCTATTAATATTCACCGAACAATTCTGCACTTGTAATGTCAAAACTTTTAACACATTTTCGGATGTTGAAGAATTTAAAAATCACAATTTCATGATTAATCCAGATTTTTTTTTTGCTGGTTTTATAGATAAGTGTGACAGAATGGGATATGCAAGGTGAAGTGTTACAAATTCTTGCTGAAGTTGAATGTAAAAAAGATCGTATAGCACGAATTGTAGTTGGAGATCATGGTTTGACAATTATAGCCGTTGCTAAAGAAGTTAACGAATCATTGCAAAATTTACTCGCGCAACAATTATTTGTACGTATACTGGTTAAAGTTGGGGGTAAACTGTTCGATAGTTTACGATATAATGCAGGAAGAAATATTACCAAAAAATCCATAGGCCTATAAAGTCCGAAAATTATGAAATTGATAATGGTGAAATTTTTAAAAATTTTCTCAATTATATTAATAAAGCGAGAATAGTTCTGATATTCGAATATCTTGTGATGTTGAGAGATATTTGCTATTCCAGGAACATTGTTAATATTACATAGTCTTAATATATATCCATATTGAAAAAATGTATGTAAACTGTCTTTGCAGTGAACATTGTACAAAAGTAAATAACTTCCTGTCCCGGAAATATTTTTAGTGGATTTTTGCATTTTACATACATACTGACTAACCTTAGCAATAATATTTGAAGGGATTATATATGCGTCTATTGTATAAAGCTAAAGGATAGTATGTATTTGCGTGCACTATGAAAGACATTTTTTAACAAATTAGCCTATAATTACTTCTGAAAATGATATATGTATACGAGAAACATTTACAGCAAGAAATGTTTGATGATTTAAGTGTATCATTAAATCAAGTGAACAATGCGCCAAAAAAAAAAAAAAAAAAAAAAAAAAAAAAAAACAGATTATGCTATAATTACAGATAGCTAATTATAGTTATTAATGTAGGTGATGATAAAGGAATGTAGTGAGTTAAAGAACTTATGCTAATTAACAGTCCTTTAGAGGATAAGTGGACATAACCGATAGTGGCAAAACCGATACTGGATCAAATTCTCATTAAATGTGTGGAATGAATAATCAACCAAGTAAACATGTTCATATTTGTCACATGGAAATATTTTCCTTCTCCAAATTGCTTATCCATCGTTTTCATCTGTTCTATCCTGTATCTTAGTTTTGGAGTTAAAATTTGTTGAATCGAAAAAGAGTAAAGGAAACATCCCAATAAGACATCCAGCAATTAATCCAATGCTACGTCGAAGATTCGTAACTACCCGAACAAAAAAAGATTCGAGATAAAATGAAAAATTCATTTTTTTTCTTAAAAGGAAAAAACTCGAAGCTTTCTTTCACCTGTTCAGAGGTAAGCACTGGATGCTTAATGCCACATTTCGATACAATAAGTTCAACATAATGCGCAAGGCCTATGCCCGCAACATCTGATACGGTATTTCCAACTGCTGCTGCGGTCATTGTTGAATAATGTTAACCAATTACCAATTGTCTGAAAAAAAAGCATTCATTGTAGACTACCAGTAAAAACATCGATTTGCTCTTTATTTTTTCTTCTCATCTTAACTTTAATCATATTCTATAGATATCAATAAATAATAAAATATAAAGCATATAAATAGAAAACAAATATAAAGTTTAAGTACGGAAATATCATTCAAATATCATACAGTGCACTGAAGAAAGATAATGAGAACAGAATCAATCTACCTTGTCCGTATTCACCAGCAACGAGCATGATAACATTATCAAGAAATCCAAAACCAATGAAAGGTATCGAATTTACCAAGAAAAGTTGATATGTTTGCTGACGCGAAAGATATTTCCCTAAAGAATTACATTGTTTAAATTTATAAATTCTGAAACTCGAAAAATTTTAAATCTTTGGACTTGATTTCAACAAATGCAATGTGAAACCTCAATTAATCCCTTAACTTCAAGTATTAGTAATATTTATAAGATTGGTACTGAAAGACAGGAATTTGGAATAAATTTCAAATTCTTATAACATTTTAAACATGACCAGCGGATTAATAAGGATAGCATAAATTAAGAGTTGAGATTTCAAACTTTTTTATATTTCAATAAATAGAGTATCAAAGATTTCTATTCAAAAAAAAAAAAAAATGATAAGTAAAAGTTCTTGTCAATTTATTAATATTATTTAATGCAAAGAAAAACTGAAAAAACAAATCACTATAAATTTAATATTTCATAGAGAAAACATAATATTTTACAGAGCAATCATATTGTATAACTAATTAAAACTCATCAAGAACTGCTAATCTGTAAAGTTTTTTTCCTTTATTTACTAGAACTGTTTAATCTTACCGTTTGATATAATTGGTAGGAATTGCTTTTCGAGATTGCCAAGAGCAGCCTGAAGAAGTTTTCGTTCGTTTGATGTCAATGCTGTCACAAGTGTTCTTGCTTTAAATTCATTTTCAATGCGTACCTCTTCGATCTTACTCACTGTACTTGAAATATTTCCGCAACATTATAGAAGTCAAGAAAAGCAAAGAATTTACTTATTTCCTATAAAGTTCAAAATCTGACTGCTAAATTTGTCTATTATTTATTTATTAAGTTAACGAACAACAAATTTACTTATTTATTCAATTGACTATTAGTGGATTAAATAAATTGGTAATAATAATAAAAATAGTCATAATAGTAGTGATAATAATAATAATTCTTGAATTAATCCAGTGATGTATAGAATGCAAAAGAAAATCCAAACAAAATAATTTATAAAAGTATTAGAGTTTAAATTTAAAACCAAAATAACTTAGAGGAAATACAAGGCTCTACAGACTTCATAATATGGCTAAGCTTCTGATAAAATGATTAAATATCGGCAGTCAAAACCACCTGATACGAACTGCCTGATGTGATCCAATCTTTGGATGTAAGTCGAGCTTGAGTTACCCGCGAAAATGCAACCTTTGGGAAATAAAAAGCTCAATGTAGCAGACATTTCACTTGTGACTTGAGCAATGGTTAAAAATATTTTTTAATTTTCCTGGCAACGATTTCAAATTCTCACAGGTAAAATATTCACGCTCTGAATAAATATTACTTATGCAAATGAGACGTTTACAAAACAACTATGGCATGCTTAAAAGCATGCCAAAAATTTTAATATATTGATAACTTAATTAAATATGTCAAGTAAAGAATTTCAATCAGCCAATTAAAAAACTCCTTCAATTAATTAAGAACTTTTTAATCTCTTATCTTTACTTTTTTATCTACTTTCATGATATATAGAATACCACCCGTTTCTCAACTGCTACCACAAGTAAAATAATTGAAAATCCCTCATACTTTAGGAAGAACACTAGAATAAAGAAAATGTGAAGCAAAGATTGGCTACTCATGTAAATTAAGCCTCATCCATAACTGGTACTCAATAATATTAAGTCAGCAACTTATCAGTTAGGCGCAGATATCTCGTTTGTTTAAACAGATGCGCAAAGGACACACATGTACATTCTGCTAGATTTTTTCGTTATATACGATATGAAATTCAATTGTTGTTATGTATAATATTGAAAAAGTTAAGTCATTTTAATTTTCATTACATGAATAGTTTATCGAGACCCAAACTTTTCGTAATTTAAAACTAGAAATTTATAGTTTTATATTTTAAAAGAAATATAATTCATTTCATAGTAAAACAAACAATGAATAAGTTAGAAATAAAATTCCATTAACATAAATTATGACATTCAACCAGATGACACATAAATCATCGACAAGACAACATTGTTATTTTGGAATAATATGAATGAAAAAAAAAAAAGATAAAAATGATGTTAATAGATCGATAATGATAACCGATGTTATCGCAGTTAAGCCACCAATAAAATAAAACAATTATTTTGGAATAATATAAAAAGATCGATAAAGTACATCAGGGTTATAGCAGCTAAATGAAAAAAAAAAGATAAAAATAATATATTTAACAAATCCCTTATTTTCATAAAACCCAGACTTTACATGAAAATTTCAGAAAAATATCAGCCAAACAAATAATAACTACTATATGAATGAATAAGTACGATAATACGAGCATTATAAATCAGCAAAATTTATTTTATCTACAACCACGTTGTTCATCGTACCAACCACGTCCTCTTCTACTACTACCACGCCGACCAGTATGGCTTTGATTATAATATTCTTCGCATTCTCTCATTACCTTCAGCAGAAACAGCTGAGTGATAAAAAGTGGAACTGATATGTTAACATATATCCCTCTTTCTATCTTGTTTTTTTTTTTTTTTTTATGAAATAATTATTGATAACGAATATGAAAGATGTAACTGTGAAACATTTAACTTCTAGTAATGTTACTCGTTTAAAAATATTCATCACATACCTGATTTTCAAAACCTGTACTTCGACCGCCAGTTCTAAATCCTCCTCTTCCATAGCCTCCATATCCACCACCAATTTGATAATCATTTCTGTCATACTGAAAACCTAGGCCTCCTTGATATCCACCTCTCTGATATCCTCCATCACTTCTATAATCGCCTCGTTTTCTACCTATAACTTATTTTTTAATAAGTGCAAAAATTTTATTACATAACTATTTTGGTCATAGAACCAGAAACATACCGCCTTGATCCGGAACGCGATCCTTTATCCAAGGAGGCATTTCCGGCGGAGGAGCCCGTAGTTCAGATGGCCTACCACCACGATCACCCGGACGATCAGTAATCATTATCTGAAGAATTTATTTCATAAAGATAATAAAGCTACTTCTCCTCTCAATTCCAAATGTTTTATCTTAATGCTAAATTCTCATACAACAGTATATATTTAAATGGTACAAGAATAATTTCTTTTATATGCAATATTAAGTCTCGAGAGAATGATACAACTTGAAGTTCAATATTTTTTTTTTTAGTTTAGCACCTTGTAACGCGTTATATGTTACAAAAACACTTTTTTCCTTTAATATTTACACCGACAAGGGGAAGCTTTAACAAAAGGAAATATGATAAAAAGATGAGAAAACTTTTATAGGTTACATTTGAAAGGAAAAATGCAAAATTCAGTTAATATGAAATGATAAGAAAACAGTAAAAATTATTTGAAATGAAAGAAAAAAAGAAGACAAAACTGGAAAAATGTTTAACTTTATTTAACCGTGATGCGGTACGTTTTCTTTCTTTTTCATTATTTATTCGATCAACAATTAGAAGAGAGCTAGTCGCCGCAAGTAAATCATCCATACCAACATTTGATGCTACAGCAATGTGTTCTCGTCGAGAACGATAAATATCATGTAACTTATCCTGAAAGACAATAAATGAGAATTTCTCATCATTTTAAGAATAGTAAAGTGTAAGTTATCAACCAATTACTTGAAATCACATTTGCTGAATTAATTGTTAAATTATTATTGAATTCACCAGAATAAATGGAAAATGTTTACCTGCATTTTCTTTATACGATCGGACCAAGTGAATGATTGAATTGTAACATCGAGACGTTTAAGCAATAATAGAATCCGACTTCGATATTCCTGCACTAATTTTTCATTCAACACTTCGATTTTTTCCCACTGTGTATCACTTAATGACGCGGTTAATAGTGGATGTGGTTTTTCTTTACATTTGTCCATTTGTTTCGTAGCCTGTAACCAACGTCAAAGAATCATCAAATCAAAAAACTTTCAGCACTTCCATTAAAATCAATCATTTATCCTACCAATATGAATATGAACATTTATGCACTTACATTAGTCAACGGTGTGAGAATAAAGGAAAAAACAGAACTAACCAAATCTTTTAATGCTGAGAAAATCTGCTCAACTGTAATACCAGCAGGTAACTGATTGATACCAACTGCTACCAATGCATTTTCTAAGTGAAGTACTTCAGCACTCTTATACTGTAAATAAACAAACTTTAAAATCATACTTATATTTGTTGAGATGAAACATTTTGCATAGAATAAATATTAACGGAAATTTTAATTATCATTTAATTAGTAAAAAGTATTAATTCCTATGTCAGTTTATGGAAGAAGACTTTTTTTCCAACGGAAATAAGCGCAACAAAGTAATTAATATTACGTAAAGAAATCTGTATAAGTCAGATGATTTAAATTAGAGAACAAATATTTTAAACGATGCTAAATGCAAAGTTGAAATTAGAAAGAAGGCTATGCTTCCCTAGTAAACATCATTCTTAAGCATATGTGAAATCTACTCTATCAAGTGAGAATAATTTTGAAAAAGTAGAAATAAAGAAGGTATTAATCTAGGTTTCATTTTGCAATAACTAGAAAGTTCAGTTTTCATAATCTCAAAAAAAAAATTTTAAATGTGTTTTAGTTCTTTCTCTTAGGTTACCACATTTTCCACCTTTTTCTGGAAAAAAGTCCACAAAACGACCTGAGATAAATGCTGAATTTTAATTTTTAAAAATTAAATGACATATAAGTAAAAAATGAAAAATACCAAACTACCTGGCAAGTTTTCGAAATTAAGACCTAACGAACAACTTGTAGCAAAACAAGCAAAATGCTTAATTATAATAAACCTCAGGTATTTCCTCATGTAATCGATTCAGCGCAGTCAATCGAGCGCATTTCATATGCCCCATTAAAAAATCAAGCAATTTTGTTTGATTTTCAGTCGAACGAAATCTTTCTACAACTGGTCCAGTTGTTAACGCATCCACCGGACATTCTGGAATATTTGCTTATTCATGTTTAAACTAGTCTTGATCATTGATTGAAAATGAAATATTTGAAAAATTATGTTACAGCTAATCATTACATCTAAGACAAGTTTCTTCTCAATTTCCTTCCTCATATTCTTATTTCACTTTCCTATCTAACTCATTGTTATGAATTAAACAAACTTGATTCTAGTAAAAAAACTTCACTAAATCAAAAACTTTCTACAAAAAAAAGAAAAAAAATCCCTCATTGCTGTTCAATTCAAGACAAGAAAAAAATGTTACCTAATTCAGACAAAATTGAACTAAGGTCTAATAAGAAAAATTCCACATTATCGGATCCAGCTGGTCCATGAACCGTTTCATCTAACCCATACAGTGACGATATCTCATTACACATCCATTCGATTAGCTTATAGAAACGTAAATCTTCAATGCCTGCTTTTTGTAAGTCTTCTAATTCTTCTGATGGAAAAATATTGAATCTGTAAAATGTGTAGAGAATAAATCTTTGATATATTTTAAAATGCAATATGGTATCATTTGACTTCGTAGAAACATATAAAATCACTGAAAATCAAAAAAGAGCTACATCTATACAAGCATTTATTTGATCTGTACAATTTAATTTGATTCCATTACCAATATTAAATTTTACAAGTGAATTCCAAATTTAAAAACGACAATTCTGTAAGAAAATTTTAAATTCGTTGCTAATTGTTCAAATGAATTCATTAATTTCTTAACTGAATAGAATAAGATAAAAGAATACTGTTCCTGCTCCTATTATTCATGTAAATGAAAAAGAACAAAAACTATTTTTGTAATTCCAATTAAGTTTAATATTTCTGAATAATTTGGTCTAATAAATAATATGAAACAATACGGTACATAATCATAATATCATATAAAAGCATCTAGAAGAATCAAAAAATTGTTCACTGCAGAAGTGAGAACTGAAACATGCAATAATACACTTACCCGAAGGAAATAATTTCACTAGCAATAAACGATCGCTTCTGCTCCTGTAATTTCTCATCCATTTATACTGAAATTAATAACTTTATTTTTGATAGAATATAATTTTTCCTCAATAAATGAATCGCTTTTTTGAAAAAAAAAGTTTCAATATCTAATGAATCAATGATTTGAATATGCAAAAGATAAAAGATGCACCAGTGATATTACAATCATTGTTCAGTTAGAAAGGTTAACTAAAACAGTGATAAATGTCAAATCCGCCACCAAAAGAGGATGAATGAGCATTTGATCCAATTGATTCACCGTTTCCGAATAATCCGGTACGAGTACTTGGTCAACCAAATATGTATGTAGCACTGTGATACAAGTATGCTGTACCGATACATGATCGAGCATGGAATAATGGTGGTGTTTTGGAATGCTCATTTCCATATAAAAAAGCTGAATTAACTAGTATCAAAGATCTTGGTGGCCAAATACAAGTAGTTTTAAGTTAATGTCTTATTTAAAAATACATTTAAAACAGAATTTAACCACCAATAATATTTCAAATAAGGATATTTAGAATTAAGATTCCAAACGTAATCTTTATAATTCTTATATAAATAGCAGAAATTTATGTACAGTTCTTGAAGAAAATTTACAATTCAAGCAATTTTCATTTTTTTTTTTTTTTGCATTAATGGAAAGAAAAAAATAACTATCGTTTTTGAATATAATTATAGATAGACTTAAATTTAATGAAATATAAAATTTTCTCTATCTCATTTTTTTGCTGATATCCTAAATGATTCAGGTCATACTTATGTAGGCAAAATAAAAATGAGTTACTTCATAGGTAAGCTGATTCATTCTAATGTTTAATTTATCTAATAACAGGTATTACATTATATTAGGTACTTCAATACAAAGGTGATCATAACCATTTGGTTTCTAGTTTGAATGATCAAATACAATGATCGTTTTGAAAAAGCCGATATTCGGCAAATTATACACTGTAGTGTTTGGACACCTGTGGACAGACCGCAAGGTGCATTACTCGGTTATCTGGATAAATAAGACGGAATTGGTACTTATTGACTGATATTTAAAATTTTAGTTAGCTATTATAAAAATAAACAATGCAATGAATTATATATATGATTTGTAGTAGAAAATGATATTAACAAGTAAGTTAACATATAGTTAATTGTAATGCACTATTATAGGTTTATTTACTTAAAAATTAATATGTAAGCATATTTCTCAATTACCAAATTTAATTATTAGCAATGCAAGAGTATATGTTATTTACCTAAAACCAACACTTAAGTATATTTTTTGATCAAATCAAATTTGCTAAGTCAAGTAATTCAATAATTTTTAGACACATTTTTCATTTAATGGAAAAGCGGAATGATTGCAAGACAATCACTAGGTAATATGTGGATTATTGTAAGTAATACGAAAGGTGAACCACCAACATGTGGTTGTAAGCATGGCGATAAGCCACCACCACCACGTGTTATGGTTGATGAATGGATTGATTTATGGCCGGTGATCCATGGCCAAAGGATAAGAAACTTAATAAAGCACTGAATAAAAATCTTAATACACATCAAGGTGAAAATCCAGAACAATATGTTGCGCTATGGTATCAACAAGGTGAACCTGTTATGGTAGAATATGGAATGATAATGGCAAGGTTAGATAAAGAAAGAGAGAGAGAGAAACAAAGCAATTATTGATAAAGATTATTTGATAAAAATTTATCATTAATATGTTTCATTTTTTTTTCGTGCATTATTCTTAAATGATAAAAAAAAGCATGTTAAGATTAGCTTTAGAGTGGATTTTACTAGGAAATATTTTATGAAATGTTTAAGGTAGCAGCTTATTTTGGTTGGAATAAAAACCCATTCATTGCAAATCTTCATAGAGCTACCGGATTTTGTTCGTGGCTATGACTACGACTGGAAGTTATTCTCGCTTTGTGCATTATTCGGTGAGAAAGAATGGTTCTCAGTACATGTTGATCGTAAAGATATTATATCACCGTGTGTATGCACAATTGATGGTGAAGAAATTCTCGAAAAGTAAGCAAAATAATTACCATTCTTAAATTTTGAATAATTCATGAAGTTTACTTCAAACAAATATAAAAGCTATCTATGATGAAGAATCATGAAACTAAAATCAGTTTCGAAATTTGCATAGTCAAACTGCATGAAAAAGAGTTATTGACGGAAAATATTTCAGAAATTTCGGGAAATAACTATTCTAGAATTAACAGAGCTTACAGTTTTGATATTAGAAATTCCATAACAAAAAAAAAATCATACATAAAATTTTGAAAATGAGAAGTAGGAACAGTTCAGTTGACGTTAACAATTTTCCTTTCAAATTTCCTTAAAAAAAAAAATTAAAAAATGCAAACCATTTTCATTGTATAAAAGAAAAGAAATCAAATTAAAATAAAAAAAGAATCTGAAGTAAAACCTAAAAAGAAATAATATTTGGAGTTTTTTTTTTTTTTCAATACACTTCTTTCTTGAATATATCCACAAAATTTCAGGCTGATATCCGTAACAAGAAAGCATCGGCAGCTTTTGGAGGGAAGGAGCATATCATGGGACCATCGGTACAAAAGCAAATGGTACTCTGCCCCAAAGACCTGGCAACAAATTTGATTAATTGCAAGCGTCCTCCCTTGAATGAATGGTCATTCGTAACCAACCTCTAATATTACTTCCAAAAATAAAACTGCTACTAATGTAATGGCATTTCCGACTATTTTTTCTATTCATGAAAAAGCTAAAAAGCTTTTGTATCAAGAAAAAAAAGGAAATAAAAAACGAGAAATACCCCATACAAATCCGGGAAGATACAAAACCTTACTAACCAACTCATTCCCAATTCAAAGAAATGTTAAAAAAAAGGAAAAAAACCCCTATTAACCTATTTCTCCACAGAACAAAAGACCGCGATGTCCATCCTCTCAACCTCACTCCATACTTTCAATTAATTTCATGAATTCTCCAGTAGTTGCTAACCAAATATCTCCACTGGTTACTGCTGAGTCTTACTGCTCCTTTACACATTTAAAAAATTGCAAAATAATGATAAATACGTCATCAGTGGAAAAGGCACGTTGTTTATTGGCAAACCAAAATAAACCTAAAAAAGTTAATTTGGCATACAATTTTATTCATCACTACCATCAAAAATTTATTCTTCAAAGCACTATTCATCAGCACATACCACCATAAGATGAAAGTAGTATTTGTGGAAGCAATCAGTTTGGTGACAAATAATAAAGGAACAGAGTGAAATCGTAGAACTTCGAGATGGAAGTAAAGAACTCGTTTAAATAGCACGTGTCAGTAGAATGCCGACACTAAAAAAATTTTACAAGACTGCGTTAAAATCGAGAATTTATAAAAAAAAAAAAATTACATTCTTCTTTGCATCTTTCCTCCTCTCCTCCTCCGCCTGAGAAAAAACTTTGTGAAACTTAAAAAATTTAAGTTACAAAATTCAAGAAACATTGCTCCAGAAACTTGAAGTTTTTTAAAAAAATCCAGAAGGAAATCAAATTAATCATCATGGAATACCATACAGTAGAATATTCATAATTTGCTAAAACAAAGAAAAAAAAGTATTTAGTGCAGAAACCGGGGAAAGGAATTATGATATCAATTATACATAACGAACTAAATCGTTGAATTATGATCCTGCCGGCTGTTCCATTAGCTCTGCCGGCAGTGGACTTTTCGGATGCTTCGATTCGAAATGTTCCTTATAACTCCTTTTATCCATCATCTGCGCCTAAAATAAATAAACAACTAATTGGCTGAAATTCAGGAAAATAAACTCTTTCAAAAAGATTATTTTTTTAGAAATTTAAAACACAAATGATAAGTGTCCTTTGGTTATTGTAAATAACCGAAAAATAGGTCAGTGAAAACTTTATGCAGACACAAAAAAGATCACTGTGCAATTCTGAGCAGTTGTTGCTTCAACCAAAAAGAGAAGATATTACAAAAAGTTTACAGCAAAGGCGAATTTCTAACTCTAACCTAAAAATGAAGAAATTTTGTCCATTACTTCACTTAGCAAAATGGTGTTTGAACAAGCTTTTGTTGCTGTACAAAGAAATTACGTATTAAGCATACGTAAAACATCAAATTTTATATTATTTTTACTGAAACTTACCATACAAACAGTGCATTTATAGATAAGCGATTTGAGGCACGCACCCTTCTGGTCATGTCCAATTGATTTTTTCAGTGCTTCTTGCTTCTTCAGATTCTTCGCCTTAGCTTGCATCTTCATGTGACCGCGTGTCATTGTTGCAAGCTGTTGAAATCACTACTGGGAAGCTATTAACTTAAGCGTTAAGATAGTTTTGAAAATTAACATGATTAAGACGCATTTGCCACAAAACTCGTTCCTAATGCTATCAATTTGGAGTTTCGGATTCCAGTGAGAACCACTGGAATCCGAAACCTAAAAATTTGTTAAAATTTTTCTTATTCACCGCGAATTCCAAATATGATCTACATTGGACTCTATTACTATGCAGCTATTCCAGTTATAATTCGACCCTGAGCACTCATAGCTCTTGTTGATATGTGCCAAAATTTATGAGGAGTAACAGCCAAGTATTATAAGCTGTCGAGTACCATGCAGTACACCTGTCAAGTTTAAGCTGAACATAAGAGTGAGCAATTTTTAAGTATCTTCGGCTTAATACCGAAGAAAAACTCAATTTTCAAGCTGAAAAGAATCCTTTATTTATTCAACCACAGTTGGAAAACCTATATTTAAATGTTATACAATGAAATAAGAACAATTACCGGACAAAAAGACACTGAAATTATTACCTATAATTGACTGCTACCATTAAATGAACCATTAATCATCCATATGGACAGTATGCATCATATTGCTTATTATAGTACCACCATTTTAATAAAATTAAGAGGCAGAAAATGAGTATTCATAAGACAGACAATGTACACAATTGCGCCATTAACGGTGCAGGAATTATGGTGGAAATGCGCCACCGAAACATATAGACAGTATAAAATAATCATCGATATACAAAATATGAAATGCTAATATGATTCCAATATATTTATGCCTGAACATCCACTAATTCTGGTGGAAGCACAGCTTTCGGATGTTTCGATTGGAAATGCTGCTTGTAGGTTTTCGGATCCGGCATCAGCGCCTATAACAAATATTTTTAGCGCTTGACTTTTCTGAAAAATAATGTGAACTCGAAAACTTGAAAGTTAGCACTGGAATGCATTATGATTATTGAAGTTTCCACCCAGAAACGAATATGCTCTCTAGTTGCTTTATGATAAGACGACCATTTAAAAATAAACTGTTGTTCCCTTTTTGAAATGAATTTAAACCAGCGGCTTCCATTCATTTTGTTTCTTTTACCCACTTTATCCTTGTAATAAAACCTTCCAATCAGTGAATAAAAATGCAGTATAAACTATGCAATCTGATAAAAAAAAAGTGAGATAAAATTAGAAAAATCTTTTCATCAGTTTAAAATTATAATAAAGTAAAAAGATTTGGAAGATGACACCATTAAAAAAATATATATCAAATTTGTCGATTATAGTAAGCAGATTTCCAAAAGACAACTTTACCATGCAAACGGTACACTTATGCGTAAGTGCTTTTATAGCGGCTGCCTTCTGATCACTTCCTTTCGATTTCTTCATTTCCTCTTGCTTCTTCAAATTTTTTTGTTGTGACTGAAACTTCTGGTGACCACGAGCCATTGAGCTTCTTTTTATTTCAACACTAACAAGCTGCAAATATCTAAGCATTAGAGATCATCTGTTTCCTAATTTTTTTACACCATCGAGATGAAAATTCCGAAATAATTCCAAATTAATCCAGAATTTAGCAAAATCAAATCAATCAGTATCCCATATCTCTAAAGAACGTGAAACAATAAAGATATCATAGACTCAGAAAAATATGTGGTTCATACTTAAACATTACTACATTCTTATTATATTAAGCAGGATAAGAAAAAATGTTTTTTATGCATAGGCAACAGTACCACCAAAGACAAATTTTCTAAAGTTACTGCTGCAAGAATGAACTCTACCTTGCCAAAGTAACTCAACTAATGATAAACTTGAGATAAGCTCAATCGTAAGATCCAAATAAATTCATATAACATTTTTGATTCAAGAAGTTAATTATTTCATACTGAAGTATGCCACACACTAACGTTCTACTAACACCACTGAACATTAAACAAATGGAGAGGAGACATGGCAAAAAAGGAAAAAATTTAAAGAGGAGACATCGCATAAATTCCATAAGAAAGCTGAAAGGTGATGAATTTTTCAAAGATGACAGTAGCAATTAACTTCCCAACCAATGAGAAAAACTTGACCGTTACTAATTTAAAAATAAATAACTTAATCACAATGAATAATTCCAGAGAGAATGAAGAAAAGTTTTCAATGAAATCGTTAAAAGACAGGTTTCTCTAACGACTCAAGGTTCATAATTTCTCTGGAAAGAAAAGCTCATATAGCTGACGTATTCATTTAATCTTTCCCACTAAAATCAAGCTAATATACATTTGATGAAAAAATCAGTGAACATTTAAGAACCCATCAATCATTTCTTCTTCGAAAATCGGGAAGAACGCCTATTTAGTACTAATAAATATGATCCAACATGTAAAATTCTACACCAGTACATGTTATTTTGCAATAAACAAAATCCATTCAAAATGACGCTACCGATCACTGCATTTACTAACACAATTTAAATTAAAAACAGCCAGTTGGAATAATATTAACTAATGGATAAAAAATAAATGCAAATATGGTAAGAAGCCAGTAAACTCCTCTAGTTGCAGCAAAAATAAACTATGTAAAAGCTAACAACATTTATTTTTTTACAAACGACAACATAGGAATCTTTCGTGAACCGTAAACAAGACAAACAGGTACAAAAGACATTCTCAGAAAATATGTATAAAGCTATCATTTATTCATTTATCCATCGAAGGATAAGCCAAAATTAAAAATATTAAGTTTATACGTAATACGTAGTACAACCGGAACTGCAGGAGGAAAAGAAATTAAGTATACTTAGAACTATTGAATTCACAGGATCAGTCGAAACAGGAAAGAAATCATCATTTCTCTTAAAACTTTTTGTAAAAAAGTATAAAACTGTGAAGAATAACCGATCCACATAACTACAAAGAGTAGAAGAAAAGTGAAGATCTAGCTATCCAGCACAATTCAATTATTTTTTGGTTCTCTTTTCAAATTTAAATTCCTAAACTCAAAACTTATGGAAGTGTGAAAAAAATAGGAATACTAATATTACAAGCAAGAAGATTCAGCAACAAGATTAGAATCAATTATCATGCTTTGAAGATAATGAGAATAACTTATTCGAAATCCAGGAAAATTTTGCAGCATAAATCCGTCCCCCATTAAATAGTCAACAGACCAGTTCCAAAAGGTTTGATTACTGCAGCAAAGCATTAGGGAAGTTTAGACAATTTCACAGGTAGCACCTAATTTTTCAAGTTTTGTTTTTAGTTCTTCGGCCTCCTTTCTACTCAAATCTTCCTTCACTGTAGCAGGCAACGCTTCTACAAATTTCTTCGCCTGTACCAAATTAAAACCTTCCACTATTGCGCGAACTTCTTTGATTAATGGGATTTTCTTTGAATCATCCACTTTCGTTAATTTCACCGAAAAAAACGTCTTTTGGGATGGTTGAGGTTTCTCCATTTTCGCTCCTTCTTCTAGAATAGAAAAAAGTACAACACATATAAGAGAACAAAAATGCAAAAAAATGTTTCCGTCATAAAAGAGAAAAAATTTTCCAAAAACAACATTTTCCACATTGAAAATCAAAACGCCATGACTAAAACTTTTACCTGCAGCAGAAGTAATCCCTGAGGCAGCAAATGATTGAGAAAAAGCTGGTGCGTCCGGTAAGTTCAATTTTTTTTTCAGAGCGCTATTTAGATCTGCCACTTCGAAAATCGTTAAACTGACTATTTCGTTTGCTAACCGAAGGATCCGTTCTGATACCACCTTTTCGTCATCAAAGTGTGGAAGCGGAGATGCCTTCCCTGGTTCCAATGGTAGCTTGGTAGCTTTTTGGTCACTGGTTAACTCCATTCTTTCAGCATCAATCATAGAAGGGGTTTGTGCCTCTGCTTCTTGCTTCTTTTCTGGGGTTATATGCGTTCGTTCAGCATCCTCGGACTTTTCGACTTTGGTAGATGCAGCAGTTATTTTTTTGCCTTCTGAAGACAACTTTTCTAATGGAAGTGGCGCTTGTGCTACACCTTCTGAAACAAAAATTCATTTATATTAAAAGACAGCTAATTACTAGATATCCTGTTTTACCTCCTTATTGATTTGGTTGTTTTTCGACTAATCAGTACAGGAGATTAACGAAAATTTTACAAAAAACAAATAAATGATAACCTGTGGCAAGCCTCGTATTCCTTATTAGTAATGTAAAGCGATTTCGTGAAATAACAGCTCTTGTCAACATATTTCGTATGCAAACTATTTCCATACTTCCTAGTGAATACTAAAATTAAGTGAAAAAAAAAAATGAAAAAGTTGGCAGTATGATGATATGATGCAATATTTGAAAAACCAAATAAATCGGAATACTGCAAACAAAGATAAAACAACATGTTGCTATAAACTGTATATACGATATACACCATACTTTCTACTTTTGTTATCCAAACTATAATAAAAATTACCATTTCTACTGTAAGATAAAAGTTATGGTATATAAAACACATTTGCAGTAAGATACAAATCAGAACATGCAAATAACTATTGCTATTAGAACCAAGCTATAATATGCGACCTACCCTTTCTACAAAATACTGGCTGCATTATGTAGATACAAGAAGAAACTGCATCATGTAATCTAATCTTCTTGTAAGACACAAATTATCGTATGTAACCTGCCCTTCCTATAAAATGAAACTACACCAGTCGTGCATAAGACCTAGGAAAAATGTGCCGGAATTTATCCCCACGGGTGAAATGCACAGTAATCATTTAAAATGCAATATGCAACTCACAATTTGCTAACATACAGTTACACCGTAATCGTTGTAAGACCGAAATTGATTAAAAGACGTAATACACAAACGACGCACCGAACGCTTCACTGAAAGTTAAGATGGCGTGGTCTATATATGTAAGGCTTTATTATAATATGACCATATTATATTGTGCGTAATTTGTCTAACTATTTCAAATGACATTTCCACCTTTTTCCAAACAAATTAAATATAGCATTCACATATTGACATCGATCTTCAATTTATGCAAATTTCTCTTTGTAATTATCCCTCAATTCTGAATTTTTTCCAAAGCAGTCGATTACGAAAATCTTTAATATAGCAACTGTGCATTTAGTTGTAATACGAAGTTCTGCTCAGTCTATACACTAATTACACTATCTCACTGTTTCATTGCATTTAAATACAATTAAAATAGTAGTACCAGCACATTATAATTTATCATAACTAATCATATAATATGTTGTAGAAATAATTACAGTATTTCTGCGTGATAATGAATATTGATAACATGATAAGCGAGAGTTTAGAAAATCTATTCATCTAGTGACATCATCTCCAAAGAAACAGCTATTTGATTAAAACTGTTTTCGCCATCACATAAAAGTTCATACAATTTCATCAAAGTTAAAGAAAAGAGTATACTTCAAGAGTCCAGAAGATCTGCCACTGCACAAGCGAAAATCCGGAAGAATAAATGGGATATAGGTGAATCGATTGTTGAACGACGAAGACATATATCGACATTTTATTTTTTGAAAAGATGTGCATTGATTTTAGTAATTAGAACACCAGTAATTTTAAACAGCATGCTTTTTATATTTTCTAAATAGTATCAGAGAAAATGATCTAGAATTGATAATGTCTTTTTTCTCTTAATACTGTTGCTTCTTACAATGAAAATATATACTTGCACGAATTCATAATATTCCTCTTTTGTGAGATCTGAATAAGCACAAAAGGAAAAGTAATAGAATTCACAATTGAGAACAATACAACATAATACAAATTTCTTGATCTAAGATTTCTTAAAGAGTAAAGCTGACTGAAGTAAAGCTTCTGAAAAAATACAGTAAAGTACCACCAAAGTAACTAGAAATCAAAAGAACAAAATTATAAACCCACGATCTTATCATCTTTGATATGGTGCAGTCGCTCATTTAGTCAGGGAAAATATAATACCTCTGCGCTGCACAAGTTACAAAAACTTTTATACCATTATAGCTAATTTGAACCTCTAAAGTACATGCAGCGGAATATAAAAGTTACAACAATGAAAACATTAGCAACATAAGGAAAGACAGCAAAATAAACCATATTGAATTATGATTTCTTGTAACTTTCAATCAGTTTGGTTTTTGTTCTCAATCATTTACAATATGCTTTGCTTAAAAACATCATGTAATGTGATATCATACTTAAACTTATAATCATCCCAGTATCTACCAAAATATTTTTGTTATGACTATATTAAAACGTGACCACTACATGTGACCATCGACAAAGACTCAAACTTATATGAACAAAACCACATGCTTAACTCATGCAGATGTACACGGAAATGGACTTCATCAGAATAATTCTTACTGAACTTAATGAAATACCTAGTTTAATATATTACACGGATAATTGCCTTCTCCTCTCAACTTTACGGTTGAGCTTACTTCAATGAATATTCACTACAGTTTAAAAAGCAAAACGAATATATGTAATCAAGAACATTGATTTGACGGAACGACAGAACAATGCTTCACCTCTGATAAACAATTTTCCAATAATTCACATACCTCTGAAAATAATTTAAATTGTTCCCATTCATCAGAAATATAACTCATAAGGTTTAAATTTCTGACCAAATATTTCCAGTACCGTTTACTGTTCTCGATCTACGAGGAATTATTTTTGGTATTACATATCTGCCTGAAATCAAGCACCTGGAACGGGATTGAAAATACCTACAAGAATGCTTTTGCTTCTCTCAATGCTTCTCGTACAGCAGGAGGATAGTCTTCAGCTTTTATAGATTTCACAAGACAGTATGACACGTATTTCACTGATACCCATCGCCTGCAAATGAAATTAGTTAAGAAAATCGTTCAACTCCACTGCAATATTTTAAATCATAAATCAAGAGTGTTTTCACGCAGTTACATCATGACAGTTAAATAAAACTATGACTTTTCACTAATAAGACTATAAAGCACCCTGATCACCTGCATTATTATTATTAAGATAAGCATGAGAAAATCACATTTAACATCAAAATTCCTGACCGATTATACAGAGCTTATGATAAAGTGATAAATTCGAGTTGAGGCAAAAGATGTCAATAATGACTTCAATCAGGTCATTAAAACATTTCGATTATCATCAAAGTTTGCGTATACTCGTAATTTGCGTGCAACCATGTGGTTTTGCACTAAACATTTTTACTAACAACTGAGAAAAGAAAAGATTGGAATTTTCTCATTTAAGCTCTCACCAATTCTTTTGGCCATCAAAATATAAGACCAAAACATATTGCATGTAATCATGTGGTTTTGCACTAAACATCTCATCTGTTGGCAAATCATCTAGTAGTACCTGAAATTATGATAAAGTATCTGAAAATGTAGGGAAAGTAAAATCCATGATTGATTAACCATTTAACTGATAGTGTACATATACAGTTTCTAACAATAGCCCTATCACTAAAAATAATAATTTCGAAAACGTACCCTCATTCGTAAATCGATAACCCTACCAATTTTACGTTCATCATTTTCCGTTATCCAAACAATATCGTCATGTTGAAATTCACATGCCACTTCAACTGTTTCTGCAATGCCCTTTTTTTAATGAATAATGTGAAGTTTCTCCAACAAAATTTCATGATATTATGAGGTGCTATAGTGCAGTTGAACATGTATTCCACAACGTAAAGACGTAAAGAAGCAATGTCACAACTACAAAGGATTAGCGGTCAAAACTGCCTAGTTACCTAAAAAGATTATTTTTACAAATAAAAAAAAAAAAATATAGCCCTTGCTACTATCAAAAACAAACATGATGGCAATACTTGGAAACAAGTTACAGCATGTTACTGGCTTTCAATAAATCAAAACTGCAGATCTGTTCTAAATTTCGATAAAACAAATTCATATCAAAATTTTCCCTAGTATTACGAATGAAAAGATTACCGACAGGACGTTCCATTGGTTGTGGTGGTATCAGCTTTCGAGATTTTCTTGTGTTCCTTCGACGTCCACGCCGAAGATGTATCTCTTCGTCAGCAGAACTTGATTCTTCCATTGTGGAAGTATCAGTTGTCAAGAATTTTGGACTTTTCAGTGGATCGCTTCTATAGGTCATAAACGACTCTATTGCTGAAAGTGAAAAAAAACGCAAACTAGCAACTAAACAGAGGAAAACAATCTCATTTACATAAACTACAAAACCAATCGCATGAAATGTCATCTTATATATTATGTCATAGCTCATCAATAAGTAAGCAGTAATATATTGGAATCCATATATCAGTTATGATACGTGGAGTATTTATGATGGAACTAGTAATCGAGATTAAAGTGGGAAGAATCGAATAAAAAAATCTAGAAAGAAAGCCCTAAAACATCAATGATTACACTTCTATAAAGCCATAGCAAAGTTACATACCCAACGAAAATCACATACCCAAATTATATTTAGGACGCTTTGGTGTAATGCTGTCGTCAAAAGTCCGCAAAGTACGCTTCCGAGTTGATACCCTCGTTGGCAACGTTTTTTCACCCTTTGAACTACGGCATGTTGACATTTTTCTTGGCACAAAATCTAAACCATCATCGTTTTCCTCTTCGTTATCAAGTTTTGGACCTTCGACAGGTATATATGATATGCTTGATATCGTTTTTAATACACCATTTGCCTACAAAATAGTTTAATGGAGTAAAACACTTTTCTGAGCTTATCGGTATTTTAAATGCGAAATGGTCCGATCTGCAATTGAAGATTTTAGTAAACCGAAAAAAAAAAAAAATTTTAGTAAACTCTAACGAAAACGATGTAAGGAGATTTCTGTTATAGTGAAGTCTTTTTGTTGAGAAACAACCATCGCTTTTTTTAATCTAGACCAAAAGAAAAAAAAACTGTTCGACATAATTTTTTTTATTCTTTTATAGATTAATTTATTTTTATTCTTTTAAAAATAGTCCTTCTCCTCGTCATGTTTGAGATAAGCAATTAAGCAAACAATTGATGCAGTTTAAATCTATTAATGTATGGTTAGTAACATAAAAAACATTGAAATATTTATACCAAAGTAAGAGCCTGTACGTCTTTTTCAGCAACTCTGAAATATTTCAAACCAATGCGATGCAATCGATGACCATATTTCCAGAAGAATTCATTATGTCGATTAAATGTTGAACAATTGTTCATCATTAATGTGAAATCAGATTTCAGCTGTGAGAGATTCTTGTAATCACCTTTTGCAAGTTTCCTTTAAAATAATCACTTGACTTTTGCTATTTATGAAATTGCATCGAAAATGACAGAGGAAGACTCACTTTCGCATGGTTGACAAATCCATTGGATTTTTGATAACGGTTGAATAACCAGGCACTTCCTTTTCCGTTACTGGCTTCGCAAATACCTGCAACGAATATTTTTTCAATAAAAAACTGCAAATGAAAAAGTAAACTGAAATATAGCTTACAGATAGATTAGATATAAAAACAAAAAAAAAAAAAAAAAAAATCCATCACTAGTTCCACTGAATTTCACTGAATAGAACATTCCTTTGCTCTCACATGAGTTGAAAAACCGAATTATAAAATGTCAAAATAATTTTGTATTAAATCCACATGACTAAAGATTGAACATTTCTTCGACAAATGTAAAACTGCTCTAGTTAGATTCTAATCGTATCTAAGCTTAACTGAATTATCTGAAATGTTACAGTTAATAAAGAATGTTTAATAAGCTTAATAAATTGTAATTCTCTCAAATTCATTAAGATCTTCGAGTCTACAGCCAAACTTATATTCGATTGTTAAAAATCAGTAGGCTGTTTGCTTAATTAACCCCTTTTGTTATAAACCGAATGTATTTGCAATGTCGAAATAATTTGCCCTCTAGAAATCTTCCAGTATGATATCACTTTTATGAGCGATTCATATAATGCCAAAAACCCACTCTTACTATAGAAAGGGTAAAGATCATCATCCGTTAGTGACAGCTTTTTACCTCACTATAACTATACATTTTGCTGCAAGCCAGTGGTCAACGAATAAGGATTAAGAATTAAGATTCTTTGTCTGAGTCAATTTCTTAGTACCAGTAGGTTTCAATTCGTTCGGCTGGTCATGCGCACTCATCCAACTCCCTTTATTTAAATTTTTTGCTTATTTTTCGTATTCGTTTACTTCCGTCATTTCATACTCACAGATAATACTTCTATGAAATTTTTAGCATATTGACCATAGAGATTAATGCTTCGTATAACGTATTGTAGAGAATAAAGTAAAAACTCTAAACTTCTCTAACAAATTTCTACAAGTTCTCGACATAAGTGACAGAAAACTAAATAAAGTTATTTGTTTCATGCATAGCATATAACTTACATCACTGTAATCTTTGCTAGCAATCTTCTCAATTACTTCACTCATTATTGTATTCAACGGCTTTGTCAGTCGATTCAGCAAGGAAGCAGTTGAGTCGTACTACAATAAAAAGAAAAACTTTTCTAAAAATTTTATGGAATATATTAAAATATCTCATAAGAAAAATATTTAACACCAGTAATCTACACAATAAACTCATAAAATATAAAATTAAGACCAACTTTATTTTCTATTTGGGAAGTTCAATCTACTGCAAACGGAAGACAACTTACAAATTCTTTTTTCATCTTTTCCCGCTTTTTTACCAATTCGCATAACAGGCGAACACGTTCAAGATTCGTTCGCAGCAAAAAGTACGTTCTGGTCTCACTAGGATGTGTCCCCTGTCCAGATGTCGGAGAAGCATCAGCAGATTTGGGAAGTGTTTTGCTATGCTAAAAACAATCAGTCTTTGATTTTTGAAGTTTAAAACTTTGTTTTCTAAAAATCTTCACGACTTTCATAGTAAATCTGCTAATTTTTTTTTATTTACGCAAAAAAAAAAAAGCTTCTACCATATCTACTTCTACCATAATATTTACAGAACGTTATCAGAAATTCACAGTTTCAAAAAACTACTCACGATTAATCGTCGTAATAGCGGTACTCCGAATCGTGACTTCCTTTTCAATGACCAGTAAGCAACGATGTAACGTATCACATTCTCACTAATATCCGCTTTCTCACATATTCTCTTTAGACTACAAAATTATGTAAATCAGAGGCATGTATGCATATTAGCAATATAAAGTTCCCAACAAAGAAGAAATATTTATATTCTAAATATAAATCTATGAGAAGAAAATTATCCTTTGTACAAGTGATACGTCCTCAAACGTCCTTTCATGCTTTTACACTTGCTGCTTTAGTCAATCCACTGCTCAAACTAAAATTTAAAATAAGATATGGCGATAAAATAAAGAATATACCTTTCATGTGGAACAGTGGGAATAGAAACCGGTGGAATAACTGCTTGACTTGCTGCTAATTTTTCCCGTGCCTTTTTCATCAATTCATCCTAAATACATTCATGAATGTTGATGAAAAATCTTAAGAAAAGTCGACAAAGTTGAAATTTCAAAAATAGCTTTCCATCGAAAAGAATAGATAATTCAGGACGTACCACTTTTTTCTTTTGTTTGGAGAAATCACTTCCATCATTTCTGTAAAAATATAACCATCTTTTAGCAATTTACACATGACCCATTCTATTCACTGTGACTGTACTAGTATTGCATGTTATAATCTCAGAGGATTTATCCATACAGGCGTAGATGCAAGCTGAGCACATCTCTTCAGATTCTTGAAAGTGACTGATGACTCCAGTTACCAAACTCATATAATAATAATTTGACCGCATTGTTTTTCATTTCTAACCAAATATTAAATATCTGTTGAAACATACTTTGCAAAATCAGTTGAATGAAAATGGCAGAATACCGTATACCGAATTTCAGTCCCACCCTCACGTTTAGGATTGTCAACTATTTCAGCACGCATTTCCATGCCCGCAGCATTTGCACATGTGACGTGAAAAGAGCGGGTACAGCTTTTCTGGAATAATTTAGTGCAAAAAGAAAAAGTAGCAAACATACTAGTGTTCCATAAAAATGACTAACCTATAGAAGCTTATACGAGAACTGGCACATCAGCACACTGTTTAACACGCCATTAATATTTCGGATCAATATATTTAAGCTCATATCGATATTTCATTGCAGTTATTTAGCTTTCAAGTTAACAAATATTTTTTTTTTTGCTCAAATCATCAGTGATTAAGTGATTAACACACTATTATGATCAGGAAATTCAATACGCTTTATGCCGAACTGCCACATTTATCATATATCTAGATTTTATGAGCAAATGAATTAAGCACTCTTTTAGCAATCAGCATTACTAATATCATGTGCTACTTATTGTCAACGTAAGTAATAAATTTTTAATCGTTAATGAAATACTTGAGCCAAAAAAATTGTCATACTCTAGAACACTGCAAACATGCTCCCACTTTTTGCTTGCATACAATACATCTCAGCCTCTGCCTTCGTCTCAGTGAATTTTCAATTCCATCAATTGGTTCCATAAACACACTATTGGCAAAATGAACCTAAAAAATTTTTTAAACAGTAAAAAAGTAAAAATGTCAAAAAAAGCGCAAAGCAAAAAATTACAAACTGAATTTCATGTTCTAGTTAATAAAATTTTAATTTGTGCAAGTCGTAAGATGAGGAAAATATCATCATGGATTTAGAATGTCAGTTTCACGATACTGCAATCCGTCACTCTGGTCTATCTATAGAATTAAAGACATCTTTTAAGCATAATTCCGTTCCTCGTTCTCCATCTTTTTTTTTCTAGAATTAGAATTTTTTGAAGAGTAAAAAAACGGAATTACAAATTATGGTAATAATACCTCATTTAGCCATAATGCGCAAACAACATGAGCCCAGCGACTGTCAACTGTTTGCTTAAAGGCACCATGCGAACTTGGACAAAGTACGCATGATACTGGTTTCGATGGTGACATCTGACAACGACGACACAACCACTGACCTTCCGGAACATACGGCACGCCATAACAATCCTGAGTTTTAATTAACTTAGACAGAAAGGATGAAAAGGACATTGATAAAATAAAGTAAAGCTTATAAATATGACAATTCCAAAGTCCAACCAGAATAAAGTTGAGAAGTAAAACAATGTACTTGATGAACAGCAATGTTGCACATATCACAGAAAATAATTTGATTAATATTGCTGCCTTCTCCATCGTTACACACGCAGCACACAGCATCTTGATCAACCAGACATTTGTAATTACCATCACCTTTTGAACACTATAATTGCTTATCGCTAATAAAATAAAGTTTCATAAATCCAGTCAAAAAAAAGGGAAAACCCAAAACTATATTAATTATGAATACATTATAAGGTACTGCAGACTTTAAACTGTAAGACGTAATTTTAACATCATGTAAAAATCAAGCATTCGTCATCGCCAAATGCCTAGAAAACTCTTTTCTCGAAAATTTCCAGTAAAAGTCTTATAAAATACTGATGAAAAATAAGAATCAAGCATAAGTGTCAAATATTTTGCAGTTTTATTCTGATTTAGACCATAAACTATGATTCCTGAAATCCGTTCACTAGCGATCTTATTTAGCAAGCAGTACCATTCCTAATAGCTGACCGAAACGTATAGCTCAGCATAGTGAAGTGTGAAAGAAGCGTAGCATCCTAACTATATGTCTGTTCGCAAAACTATAGTCGACATACCGCTAATGACACTTTCTGATTGGCCCAACAAGTTATCTTACTTGGAAAAAACTTTCTTTTTCCAGACGATCCATTGCAATCTCAAAACTATGCACACTAAGACGTTCTTCACCAGCCTTCTCTAATTTCTTTGAAATAAGACTTAACCATTCCATATCCTGTAAAAAAGCATTGCATATCCGGTGAACTTTATCTAAAGTTACTGAAAAGCAGCATTTTAATGAAAAAAAAAAAGAACATTTTCATACAATTGATGTCATTAATATGTGAACATGAAGTTAGGCGTCATAATAGTTTAAGAATATTAAAACCGTGAAAAGAAACCTCCTCGTCAACATCGTATTCCAAGATATTATCCATTTCTTCATTTAGCCTCACGCGATACTTGATGTATGCTTTAGGTATATCAAAATTTTTGCATGAGAGTGGTTTAGGCGAAAGTCTGCGAACATTTACTTTAGGAAGTGCTGCAGTGACTCCACTGCTCTGAAATATTCGCAACGTATAACTACGATTTTTAAACGAAATTGCGAAAGATGCTTGAATCTATTACTTAGCTGAAAGAGCTCTGAACTCTTATCGATCGGATATCCGCCAATACAGACGAAATTAGATGGGAAATCTTGTGTATGATTCGAAAAGTTTAGAAGCTAAAGACCCTTATACCGCTGAGCTACAACTACGTAAGAAAACACTAAATTTTCCAATTACCGACTGAATTAAATGAAACGATACAACTACTTATTTCGGTAAGCATTTTTACACTGATGTCCATCCTTACACGTAAAAAATGCAAAAAAAAAAACACATGACATTCATAGTATTCGCTTATCTGATAGTATGAAAATGCATTGGACATAATCAGTAACACCTCTTTATATTTTGCCATTACAGCACTGCTTCTATCTTCCACGGATAATTGATCATCGGTGACAAAATTTACAGTCAATGGTTGCATAACATTAATGCGCACAGTACGTCCATCCATACACGTACTTACTATTCGATCCAACATTCCCTATTCTGAAAATAGAATTTCTAAAATCAATTCATGAAATATGAAAATTTAATTTCAAAATTATTCTGTTCCAGTACTTGTCATAAATAATGCGATATCACAGTACAGTGGGAGCAAACAAAATTTGAATTATTTCTTCTTATCCTATTTTGACTGAAAAATACTGAAAGCTTAAGGTTTTCCACGTAAGTTGATAAGTGGTAGGCTGATATGATATGAAATACCAGTAATTTAATCATATGGATAAATAACATTTATGAGTTCATCACGTATGAATGATTTAAAGTTTTACATCTTAATAACTTTGTTGAAAAAAAAAGCTTTATAGCTTTCACACAAGAAAAATATGTCATCTGTGACCCTGCACTTCTAACAAACATCTTAATAAAAACACGTGAACACATCTGGCAACAAAAATTTCCGCAATAAAATTTTCATAATTAATGATGACAATTAAACTACAAAATCTAATTCCTGAAATCAAACTATACAGTCAACCAGCCGGAAAAATCCACGATTTTTGCACAAAATAGAAGTGATAGGAACGAATTACAAGACGAACTAACGCAGAACAAAATCATGATAAATCTTTGTCAACCGTCTGCAACATCACTTATCGAGTCCTCGTTATTGTCGTTCAATAACCCACCGTACCACCACAGCATGACTACAATGCCAAAAGAGAAAAAGTGACTTCTGCGAGACACAGTAACGACTAACACAAAAAGTAGAGATTGATTAAATATAACGACCGGCCGCATGCCGCGTTATATCTGCGTACAGTGTAAAATGCGCGCGGTTCTTTTGTGCCTATGAGTTTTCTGCACATTTCATTCAGTGGAGTTGGAGATTAAGGGTCATAGTAGTTCTTAACACAAGACGGTGATTAGAAAGTACCAGTAATGTCAGGCAACAACAAAAAAAGGAATTCAGATATATCTCGTATTGTATTGGTTAATCACAGTCGTATTGCTACATCATTTTTGATTTCTTTCTATCGTTTTATAATTTTTAGTGTTGAATTTTTTTGGCTTGGTTTTGTATCACTTAACTGATATACATATATTTATAACTTAATTGATATACATATACGTACTTGTATTGCTACATCATTACTTTAAGATCATTTCTAAGTCCCTATCGTGGCAGTGTGATGTCATGTATACTTACAAATACTTTTTCGTCTACGCTTGTGTATACTTTTTCTTGAATAAGGAATTTTACCACTCTAGGAGTATAAGTTTATTCATTTTCATAGTGGTATGTTAGAGTTTTAATTAATATAACATCATCTTTAGCATTTTTTTGAAGGGATGTTTTATGCCCAGTTCGTTTTATCAAAAAAAGGTCCGCTAGCCAAAATTTGGCTTGCTGCACACTGGGAGAAAAAATTATCAAAAGCGCAGATTTATGAAACAAATGTGCAGGATGCTGTGGATGAAATCTTGAAACCTAAGGTAAGCGCTTTGGTTAAATTTACAGTAATAATTTGCTCTAATGTATGAAGTAGAAGAATTGTAACCACGTTAACGTGGTTTTACATGCGTATTTCATATTTTTCATGTCCTTTTTCTGGGCGGACAAATTTTTATATTTTTTATATTCTTCTTTTCTTTTTAGCAGACAAATAATTTCAAGTCAGAGTGCCCTGAACTTTTCTGAGTTATTTTTTCTAGGTTAAAATGGCCCTACGTACCACCGGACATCTGTTGTTAGGTATTGTAAGAATATATTCGCGTAAAGCAAAATATCTTTTGGCCGATTGTAATGAAGCGTTTCTCAAAATTAAAATGGCATTTCGTCCTGGTCAAGTGGAGCTAGATGAAGATGGACAGCAGACCGCAAGTGCTGCTATAAATCTTCCGGAGGTAAATTTTGCCTGGCTTGCTTTCATCGGAAATTTAGTTTCTTTTTACTACTGTTATGCTTTGAATTACTGGGAGCTGATTGTTCATGTCATTAGCGAAATTTTAGGTATTTCATGATTTTGACGCTGCATTACCGGATTTTAACGAGTTAGACATGCATGCACAAATTCACATCAACCAAAGCCGAATTGATGATATTACTTTGAAAGAAGATCTTATACCAGAAACAGCGGACATGCCTTTTGGAGCTGAGTTTGGGGTACTTGTGATGATGATTCGTTTGTGTTATTTTGAATTTGCTATCTGATTTTCACTGAAATTTTCTGGTTTATACAGTTTTTTTAAGACCTTTACGGTGTAGTTCAGATAAGCATTTCAGGGTGATGATTTTGGAGAAAGTTCACTAGGTTTATTCAGCGATGTTAACATTGAAGAAGCTCGTGATCGTGTATCTTATGCACCGGAGGCAGGAATCAGTAGATCTGCAGCAACACTTCTGGAGGAATCTGAACCAGGTAGCGAAAAGGGTGATGCTATTAGCGGGAAACCGATGGATGTTGACATTGATCATCTTGGAATGCCAATGCCAGATGATGATTTCGGTGATTTTCCTGCAGACAACATGTTGGATGGTAAGCTGTTTTGAAATCCAATCAGGATGTTCAGATCGTTCTCAGAAAAACAGCAGAACGTTAGTATTGCGGATTTCATGGCAGAACAAAGGCAGTTCCGGAATAAATGGATTAGTATCTGTTTGTATGACTTTCATCGTTTTCCATATCTACCAGGTTTATGGAATATTTTTTCTTGACAAGTTTAGCTTGAAAATTCTAAAACAAAATCTAAACAGGTAATAATAATATAAATAATAGTAATATAAGTAATAATAATAATAAATAAAATAATAGTGGTAATAAATAAGTAAGCAAATAATAATTGGTAATAATAATGTTGATGATAATAATAATAATAGTTATAACAAACAATAGTAATGAATAACAATAGCAATGATAATAGTAAAATATACATATACAATAAAATCCCTCATTCTATTTTATAGAAGTAATCTTTAATGAGAGCGAATTGGCAAAAAGTTTGGATGCAATGGAAGCTCCTGGAGCTGAACACGATATTCCGATGGAAACGGAAGATGTCGCAGCAACAGCAATAGCAGGGCTTGTAATTCCTACAACTGGTGCGTTGTTTGATTCGTATGATTGCTGTATTGGTTAATTCCATCAATGCTGATTCATGCTTCAGCTGGATTAGCCAATGAAAGTTTCACTCTTGAACCACTGGATGCAGCTGCTGTTGCTGTAGCTGGGATCGAAAAACCAGGACGACCGAAGCGTAAACGTCGATTGATAGTTGACGAACAGAAGAATATTTCAGGAGATGAAATGAAAGGAAATATGGCTGAATACAGGTACATGATTGCCAAATAGTTGTAATTTATATTTTTCTTTTTTGTTCGTTATTTATTTAAAAATGACACTCGTTCCAAGTTATAGTTTTTTTGCTTAATGACATTCGTTCTAAATTATAGTTTTTTTTGCTTAATGACATTCGTTCTAAGTTATAGTTTTTTTTTTTACTTTTTTTTTTTTTTTTTTTGCTTTTTGTGCATTTCTTTTAGTGGGAAAATCTGTTTTCTATGTGTATTCAGTGTAATGAACATTTAAGAGTAATACTCTTTGCAGAGATACACTACAGCCTTTGGATCTTGCACCACCCACAAGAAAATTGATGAGACTCAAAGAAACTGGAACTGCTGATAAACTGTTTGCTATTCCTGGTTGTGCACATCTGCGGGCTCAAAATCTTCTAAAGGTAAATTTAGAGAAAAATTCAAATCCAGAAATTTGTTTCTTTTTCTCAAATATTTCTGAAAATTTTCTTATTTTTTCACTTAAAGAAACTTGTTTAGAGAAAATCAAATGAAACTGGTTATGCATGAAAACAATTTTGTTTATTATTTTATAGCTGTATCGTTCTCATCTCGTTTACCATGTGTATAGTGCAAGCGCACTCACAGGAGACCAAATACGGAAAGATTTGGACATGGCAGAACATGTTGACGATAATATCGAGCCCGAGGGCAGTATTGTTTCGGGACTTCTGGTAGTTTTCTGAAATTCTGTAACTCTAGGAGTGATTATGCCACTCTTCCCGGTCGTTTGCTCCTTAAAATTTTTTTATTGTCATCAGCGAAAACTTATTCCAGGAAGACCGCATGGATGATTTTGATGATGTGGGCATAACAGCAATGTCACCAGATGAAAATATAGGACAGTTAGAGGCAATTCCAGAAGTGCCGATCGCACCAGAAGAGCAGCTAATATCCATTAGTAAAGATGCCTTCACAAGTCCTGAAAAAAAAAAAGAGCGAAAAAGCCGAGTCGAAGTATTTTTTTATTTTAATGGATCTTACAGCTAGTTTATTTTTTTGAAAGATTTGAATGGGTGATTTTTGATTTGCAGCGTGCAGTAGATGAAGATGAAACAGGAGTTGATGCTGAAGACGAGCACAGGTGGACGAAAAGAACTCAAAATGTTCTAAATTCCATTTCAACTAAAATCAAGGCTTCTTCTGATGGAAAGGTAGATATTCGATACAGATTTTCATTTACCCAGTTATCGGTAATTTCGACCATAATCTGATGAGGGAGGTGAAACATCCATCACAAATTTTCGGTGCAAAATGATTTTCGTTTCCAGTTGTTAAAAAATCTGCATAATTGTAGTATTAGGTTATCAAAAAAAGTGAAGTAGGTGTGTGTAAATCATGCCTTTATATATTTTGTAAGTTAGATATATTGAATATGTTGTTTAGATATTATTCACTGATCTTCTCACGAAAGGATCAACGCGAAAAACCGCTGCTCAAAAGTTTTCCATGTTGCTTGTTTTGAAAAAATGGCAGGCGATTGATGTGCAGCAAGCAGAACCATATGGCGAGATTATAATTTCAGCTGGACCAAATATCACATCTGCAGTAACTTCCTAACCTTACCTCTTCGCTATTTCTACCTTTATATAGAGGTATGAATTAATGTAAAAAGAAAGGCTTCTCTTCATATAATTTTTCAGAGATTTAAAAGTTATGAATTGCATATTTCTACTAAACTAAAGATGCACAGTATTTTCGATACCATTTTAAATGTCTAGTGTTAGTTAGGTTAATTGGTTAAGGAGTTATAAAACATAGTATGAATAACTGTTGTCTCCATTATGATATAAATCCATTAAAAACCTGTTAATTTTAGTAAATTTTTACATTGCGACTTCTTTCTGCTTCTAAAACCGTACTTTATTTGCAGTAGCAGCAGACAAATACAGTATAAAACCTTTCAAATGCACTTGCATTACTTCGGTTTTTTTAAAATAGTTGTCATATTAAATTCCTCAATCCATTTTAACCTTACATTCAAGTTATATTTTCGGAATAATGTTTTAATCCCAGACTATAATTTTGATTCATCATTTTAATATAATTATTTTATTCATGTTCAACTGCTGTTGCGATTTAAATGTTTTCTTATCAAAAGCTTATTGCAATGTTCCTTTGTGAGTTCTGCTTAAATCTTTGTGAAATTATGGAGCTGTTTATTTGTTTTAAGCTTTCTTTCTTTGAGGTTATGAGCTTCAGCTTCCGTTTTACGTGAGAGATTTTACATCCGATGTTACTTTGTTACGTAATCTGTGAGCACTACCCGGACATCCTTTGTGAATGAAGTGTCGCTTAACTAAACCTTCCAAAGACGGAGAATGTTCCACTTTTGTTTTCATAAAATCATAAATTTACTTTAAGATTCTTAGCTGTATACATCTTGTAATTAGCCTAGCTGTAAAGGAGAAGGCGATAAGTCTTTTCATGATACATTTTTTCTTGTGACTATCATCATGTGAATATTCTAATTCCATTTTTTCCTTAGTTGTCATCATAAGATTATTCTAATTTTCGTAAAAATAATAAGGAAAATCATGGTTCTTATTGCTGATCTCTTTATAGAATTTTTGTTTAATGTTTTCTACCTTCTTATCCGTTCGCTTTCACATAGCACTGAATGAACCGAATAGTTCGAAACTTTATACGCGATTTGTACTTTCATACTCTTTTGTACTTTTTGTATATGTCTGTTTTACATGTATGTTTGATTCGATTGAAATAAATTATGCTTTGTTGATATTTCTTTCTGCAGCATTTGTTAGAGGTAATCTATATCAGCAAAAATAAAAATCAAAAATTTCATGAATTGACTTGCTGGCGCGTGATCTCGGAAAGGCGCAAAAAATTAGAGAAGGGAAAATTTGTGGTCACTGCTTTAGTCAAGGGTGAAAATAGTACGTTGGTTTTTAGTGTTGTTCGTCTTGTCACAATGTGTGTAGGATTTCTCATTTATAAATTTATATTAATGATAAGAGTCTGTTGTCAATTAGTTTTGAGGTGAATTGAGGATGCGAAAAAATAATTTCGTTATGATAACATTGGTAAATTTATGTGACGTGCAATCAATGTATAAATTGGTCATGTAATATTTTGAAATAATATAAGCGTTAACAACTTATAGTATATTTGAAATTCTATGTGAATATCTGCAAGATAATCTAATAAATCGCATAAATAAATATTCAGTTTAGTTCTCGTTTTGAATGAGAAATGAATTTATGGAATAGGTGTATCGAGTATCGCATAAATGAATATCTGATGTAATTCTGTGTTCTGAGAAATGAATTATCCATTGCATCTTTATATTCATAAGAATAAACACGATGAATGAGCTAATAATAATAATAATAATAGCGATTTTTTTTCCACAAATCAGTCAGTTAATTAGCGTAATTAGAAACAAATTATTATGAATAGAAAGAAACACATATTACAACAATAGTTTGTTAAATGGTCGGTTGTTTGAAATGTGGAATAGCTTAAGAATGGATGATGATGATGAAGAAGTCGCCACTTTTGATGGATTTGAAATGTGATACGATAAAACTATTTTATCTTTCTGTTTGTCTGACAATTTCCTTCGCTTGATTAATTATAACATCGAAATGAAGCAATCGTCGTAAAGAAGTTAATAATGATATTGCAGTGTCGAATAGCATTTGTTATCATCATTTTGTAATTCGCTCAAAATTTCAATTTAAATTCTTTAGGAAAATGGAAATTTCGGTAACAACAAAAAATCTATTAGTACTTCTTGGATACTTATCAACTGCCATTTCTGTTATTTGGTTTCTTACAACCATTGCTATATATTGGAATTCACCATACCAAGTAATACTACATCAATTTTAAATTTTATCCTATTCCAAACCTTATCTTAGTATTTTTTTTTTAAATTTATCAAATAATATTTTGTAGATAAAATATTTTGTAGATGGATTGCGTACATTTATTTTATTGTTGAAAAATGCAATTAAAAAAAAATAATCATAATTAATTGATAGATAAAACAATTATAAATCTCTCTTCATTGTTATTAAGAAAATTTTTAAAAATGATCATCAAAAAATTTTCAAAAGTTGTCATTGGAAAGTGAAAATTCACTAATTTATTAATTCAAATATTTAATTGATGAAATATTAATGCGATGTTTATTTCTAGGCAATATCACTATATGAATATCGTTGGTTATTATCATCATTAATTATTACATCATTCTTCATTTATCTCTTCGTTAATTCTAATTCACTGATAATTTTTACGGCAACTTATGCATCAGCTCAATATACTCTAATTTATAGTATTGCATCGGTAGCATTTAGTATTCTCAATCTTTTTCACGTTTTTACCGTATGGTCCAGCAAAGAACGACGTGAAACGAATTATTTACAAATGAATGCATTTCTTGGCTTTTTATCAATTCTTAGTGTACTTCTAACTTACTACTTATTAAAAAATTTGATTAAATTAGCACAAACTATGGAGGAAAATATGCAATCATTTGAACATAAACATCAAATTATGGTTAGTTTTTAATTTTTTTAATAATTTTAAGTTGAAGTTTAAATTTAAATTTTGAAACTTTTAAATCTAAGTTATTCTTTACAATTTTTTATTGTTAAATTTAAGTTTAAAATTAAAAATTTTATACATAATTCGTGTACAGTAATATGTTTATAGTATTTTTTTTTTAATTTTATTTTTTAATAATTAATTTTTAGTTCTGTTCCATATTTCATCTTATTCTTGGATTATCAAACTTTGCAGTGTGTTACGAAATGAATGCAAACGCTCCGTAAGTCATTCTTTTACATAATTAATTACATTAGCGTAGTTATAATTATTTACATTATCATTCATTTACATAAATCATTCACTACTTTACAAAAAAAGGAAAAAAGTTATTAACGTTAGTTTCTTTAATCAAATTGTATAAAGTTTTTTATTCATTTATATAATTCACTATATGATATGAGTTTCTAATTATTCATTTTAAATTATGCAATAATTTGCTTAACTGAGGTTGACACTTTTTCATTTTCATACGTAAAAACTAAACGTATCCTTTTGTTTACGTCATTTAAGTTGCATATAGATCTCATCATTCATTTTAATTTATACAACAATTCATTTGATTCCACGTGTTTTTATTTTTTTGCCATATTTCACATTTAAGTATGATTATTTATTTCGTTTAGATATTAAATCATGATTCATTTCAAATTAAATCCAGATATATTATTTAAATTAGTCGGAAGAAAAACGAAAGAGAGATAGAGAGCGAAAGGGAAAGTGAGAAAGAGAGAAGAAAGAAAAATGAAAAATTCTTTGTCTTTTTCAGCTATGCTTCACCATTTATCGTGCAGCAAGTTTGTTGCGCATGCCTAGCATTATCAATTGCATATATGCAGTGGTATTTTCGTGATGCATGCAACACGCATATTTTGCGGGCAGTTGTAATCATGAATGTTTGCCAATTTGTACAAGAAATAATGTATGCATACAGTACATATATGCTAATTATGATTATGAGACGGAAAAATGATGTGACATACAAATTTAGTTTATTTGATCAAGCTGAGGTAATTATAAGTTTTATTTTGCATTTTCTAATAAAATGAAGGAAAATGAAAACATGTTTTATTTAAATTTTAAATTGCTCATTTGCATAATGAAATTTTTCCAAATAAAGAAGAAAAAAAGATTTGAAATAATTTATCAAAACTTGAATTATGTTTGCTATTTCATCCTATAATTCTTTTTCTTTTAATCAATTCAATAAATTTTAATTAATTCACTATTTGAATGTATTTTGAATGAAATGAGAAAAAAGTGAAGAAAAATGAAGTATGTATAATTTGTTTGTTTAACTCTTTTTTCTTTTTAAAATTTCTGCTATGAAGTTTTTATTAAAGATGGAATTTGTTCAATTGAAATTTGAAAATTATTTTCTCTAAAAAAAAAAATCTATCATTTCAGGTTTTGCATTTATTAGTTGGCTCATTTGTAATTCATGGCTTACGTCTTATTACGTGTGCATATCCTGTAGCTGTTTTTGCAAAAAAAGCTTTTCCTGTTGAATTTTTATGTCGTATTCGTTTTGCACCAAATCGTACACGTGGCATTAGCCTTGCGCAAGCTAAGCGAGCTGATAATGCTGGTATTAATATTAATTAATCTAATTAATCATCTTTCAGTTCATAATTTATTTTTTTCTCTTTCTCTCTCTCTTTCTTTGCCAGTATTAAAAATGTGCTTTAGGCATTCAAAAAACAAATAAATAAATGAAAGTTTTATTTATGAAAAATCTAGTATAAGATAAAGTAACATTATGAAGTGATAAACTATAAATGTACTGCGCATAATTCAAGCACTATGAATAAATATGTATTGTTGTGTGGAGAGGAAAAAATTTTCACCCGAAAAATTGTAGGCTTTATTATTTCAAATTCAAATTACTATTTCAAATTTTATTTTTAGATAAAAGAAAAAGTAAGTTATTGTTTTATGTTGCTGTAGTATTATCAGTTTTTTGTATTGCTACGGATATTACTTACTATATGTGCAATGATGCGAAACGAATTGGTCATACTGCAATTTCACTAATTTATACAATTTGCTTATCAATTATTTATTATCATTATCGAAAAGAACGACGAACTATGTTTCTAGTAAGTTTATTCGTTTTTAATTACGTTTATTTACTTGTTTGCTTAAAAAGAAGGAATAAACTTATTTGTTGCATGATTAAAAGATAATAGCATTTATTTTATTCCTAGTAATTAAAATTATTTTCATTTGTATATTTTAATTCGCAATTATGTTTATCATGTAATGTGAAAGTGTTATAGATGAAAATTTTGACATTTTTAAAATGACTTTTAAAAATTAAGTATTTCATATTTTTAACTTATTATTGCATTATCTGTTAATCTCTTTTTTAGCACCTTTTATCATAACAGCTGAAATTTTTGATATTTATTTGGGTTTATTATTAAAGCAACTAACTATTTTAAAGGATTTTACTTATTTTATAATTTATCACTATTTCAGAAAATTCTAGCTGTTTTATCAATTATCATCATAAACTCATCCATTCATACACTTTATGTATTTGTTGAAGCTATGTTTACCGGTCGTTTATATTATGTTTTGAATAAAAGCATTGGAAATTTTGTAATAAACGGTATGAGTTATTCCTTCTTTAATTTTCAGTTATTCATATAGCAAAACAATTAGTTTAATAAGTTTAAGAAAATATTAAAAATAATCTTAAAATCCTTTTATTTCTCTTTCTTCTTCACTTTTTCTTTTTTTCGTACTTTTTGCTCACATTCTATGTTAATCGTTAAGCTATCATTCTCGAAAAAAAAATTTTTTTTTTTGTAGCATAATTTGATCTTCCATTCCTTTTTTTTTTTGAAAAAAGGTGAAAAATTAAAAGATTAATTATTTATTTAATATGTTAAATGATTTGTAACTAACAGTCGTCAAATAATATTCTAATATTTAAATTAAATAATCAGATAATGATCAAAATTTTTTTCTTTAAAGTTTTTTTAAAATTCAAATACAAAAATTCTTTTTTTTTTCAGGTAGTTACTTTTTTCTATCATTGGGCTTAGCAGTTTTATCATTTAAATCAATCATATTTTGTTTTCAAACAATAATAACGCATACACCGCTATACACTCAACCAATAGCTATTATGCGATCACTTCGTTGGCTTATTACTTTGGCTTATGTTCTCATTGCTGTTACTGCTTTAGAAATACTTTTTACAATGACTGTAAGTTTCAAAAAAAAAAAAAAAATAGTTACAATTAACTCTTAAAAAACAAATTAAAAAAATTATCCACAATTCATCGAAAATCAATTAATAAATTGAAATTTAATGAAATGCTATTCTAGCACTGCAAATTAACTGAAATGTAAAGGGATATCGATAAAAACAGAAAATGTGGAATCTAATTACTAACACAATATAAGCAACTAACATCTTCAATTAATGCAACTTTGTATTAATATAATAACGAATTATTAATTCTTGAAGCAAATTTCCTAACTTTCAATACTTTCTAAAATTTTCATTTAATTATTAAAACAATTTCTATCAATTATAGATGTACAAATTATTTTCAACACGAATTGATTTCATATTGGGCACAGAATTTTTCTTATGGATTAATTCCATTTCGACATGCTTGTTGCAAATTTGGGTTTGTAAACATGAACGATTTCAACGATGTGTAATTATACTTATCATACAGGTTTCTCTTCTTTAGATGACATGATAATGATATGGTAGAGATGGTTTCATAAAACTTGGGTGTTAAAAATATTCAAAATTAAATGTCTCAAGTTATTGGTAGATTGCTTTCTTTTGTATTGGAATATCAAATTATCTTTCCACTCATTTATTTGTCATTGATGGATGAATAATGTAGTGATTCAGCAAATTTTTTTTAACAAAATGTCAAGAATCCATTATTTAAAAATACAGGGAATAAAAAGTTGAAAGTTCAAAATAATATATTTATAGGTTGAACTTAATTAACACAATGGATTTAACACTAAATTTTCTATAACCATTTTGAATTTTTTGATGTTGCTATTAAATTTTGTAAAAAAATGCTCAGTTAGTGGTAGAACAGTATATTTTAATTAATAAATTTGCTCATTTATTTATATCACTTTTTTTTTTCTTCTAAATTTGTTTAGTCTTTTTTTTTCTGTTTTACATTTTTATTAATTATACAAAACTTATAAAATGTACAGTGTTAATGCTTGTTTATTTACTTTTTCTATTATAATGAATACAATTGAATTTGCCCAAAATTTACATCTTTTTTTGCATAATTATTAATTAATTTAACAGTTGATATCGGATTGTTCAACAATATTATTACTGATTATGGTACAAGCAGGAATTGTTCAAACTGTCATTGCAATGATGACACGTCATAGTAAAACTTTACAATATGCCAGCGCACGAATATTTTATATTGTGGTATAGTTTTTTGCTCTTAATTTATGTTTTCAAAAATTTCCAATATTTTCCAAAAGATTCTGTAATATTAAAATATTTTATGTATAGAAAAAAGAAAAAAAAAAGCTAATTTTCTTCAGTTGTTCATTCTTTTATCATTATGTTATAATTTTTACCTAATATATATTGAATGAAATAATCTGTGAAAAATTATCATAGAAAATTTGTGAAAAAAAAAAATTATCATAGACAAACAGACAACACAAAAAAAAAAAGAAAACGGAAATAAGTTTTTTTTTCGTTTTTTTAAATTGTTTTCTTTTTCTTCGCGAAATTTTTATTTGATTCGGACTACATAAACTTATTATCAGTTTAATCATGTCTTATTATCATTACATATATTGGAAACTCTCAATTTAACACTTATAAACATGTTATCTATTATAAATTTTTTTCAGATCGATCATATATTGCAAATTATTCAGTGGGCATTGAATATATGTTCACTTGGAATAGCATTAATTGTATTAGATAAAATGGAAACAGAAGATGAAACTGATAATTCTGCATTTGATAATGAAAATTTTCATGTTCCAAGCATGCGTGAACTTTTAACAATTGAACAAAGTAACTCTGAAACTAATCGCACACGTTGCAGTGTCTTTGATAGATCAGCTAATATTGATTACATCTGGGGTGAGAGTGAGATATCATTTGATGACGATGATAATTTTGATAATAGACAAGATACAAATACAAATGAACGTGATAGTGATATGAATGATTGATAACTGCCAACAATGATTATCAGCATTTAGCTAATTAATAAATTGAAATTTGCATATTATATACCAAATTTTTAGGAATAGTAAGAGTTTTTTTTTTCTTTATTCTCAATTATATCGTTAGCGAATGAATCAAATTTTTTGTTTTTTGAGAATAAATTTATTTAGAAGACATCCAAACTTAATCAAAAAAAAAGACATTCAAAATCAAACTTAATCAATATTTATTGGCACTCTGAAGAAGAAAAAAAAGGCTTTCACATGTAACTTTCACATTGTTTTTTTAATTATTATTGAATATAATCTCAGTTCATTTATTCTTAATATATCCATATTAATTTATCATAATTATGATCTTCCTTCTTTTTTTTTCTCACTTCGATAAACAAGGCATTACTTATAAAGTAGATTTACAAAAGGATATTGAATCAAAAAGCACTTATTAAATTGTCGTGTATTTTGTACTATATTGTTGTATAATTTATATTACTGAAAATTTACTAAATTACTCAAATATTGCCATTCCTTTTCTTTCTCTTTCTTTCGTCCCTATCTTTTCTTTTTGTTGTATTATTTGAATTGAATCATCTATTACAAATATTATCCCTCAAATGAAAAGCAATAAAAGTTTCAAGCTCACTATTATATGTCCTCAATTTCAACTATTACAAACGTTACAAAGAAATCCAACCAGTGATTTCAACAAATGTTGAAAACTGAATATTTCATAGTGGTCCGCTACATTCCCATAGTTGGCCGTGTTTTATTCGAGCGATTATTTGTCGAATGTCGTCCGCGATATGATTGATGATAGCATGATGTCGTAGATGTGAGGATTGCGACGGTTTTGTTGTATGCCAGAGAGTTGTTATCCAGGATTACGTGTGTTACGTTTTATACGTTTAAATATATGAATATAGCAAGCAGGGCAAACGATGATTTTTTTGTTTGTGTCATCGGAAGTACATGATTGTGTACACATATTGCGTTTACCTTTTATACTTAATTCTCGTGATGAGAGAAGGATGAATTTTATAAGTCCTTCAGATTCGTTGTTTCTTTCATTATATCGTTTAATTTCTAAAGCAATTACTAAATGCTACTTTTTCGTTAAAGTTATACTGTATTGTAAGTTCCTGAAAATCTGATGTCTTCAGACACATAGTTAATAGATATTACATTCGGATGCTTCGTTATGTGACCTTTACTTTATCCTTTATTTTTGGTGAATAAGAATAATGTGCTGTTTATAGGCAAAAATTGATTTAATTGAAGAGTGATGTCATCGAATGGGCCTTACAATTATTCATACATTTTCAAATATATTATTATCGGCGATATGGGTGTTGGCAAATCATGTTTGTTACATCAGTTCACCGAAAAGAAATGTAACTTTTTTATGATTCTCATCTGTATTTAGGTGCTTAGCCTATTGGCAGCGAACATTTAAATTCATTAAATTCAAGCTTTATGAACATTTGGATTCAGTTTACTAAGCTATGTCTACAAAGCCGGGTATGGCTTTAGACTTATTAATTTATTTCGATCATTGCAGCTATGTCCTACTGTTCTTATGCAGTAGAAAAGTAGTACATGGTATTGCAAAGGCAGCTAGTGTAGTTAGGTTTTGGTAAAGGTGTTCTGCTCTATATATGTCAGACTTAAAAATTAACCTTCTTACAGATATGGAATTTTTAAGTATTCTTTCTGTGCAGAAATCACATCCTTTTCTTTTTAAATTGTCTTGTCAAGGAATAAATGTGAAGCCCATTTGGCACCAGTCTGTTTCGGTTATTACAGTTATGGCCGATTGTCCTCATACAATAGGTGTTGAATTTGGAACACGTATTATCGAAGTGAGTGGACAGAAAATCAAACTGCAAATCTGGGATACAGCTGGTCAGGAAAGGTTTGAAAATTTGATATCAGTGATGGTCCTCTCGATCTGTTGAATTTTGCCAGATTCACAGTCTATTTTGAACAAGGAGTTTTGTCACACCTAGTCAGACTTTGTGAGATGACAAGTCATAATGTGTCTGAAGAAATGGAAAGTGTAATATTAAGATCCGATAACTCTTTGCAAAATTCCTTTTACTTTGAGCTATTCTTTAGTGGGATTAATTGATATTAACTGTTGTTGATGTCTATTACTTGTGTCACATTTTCTAGATACTTTATTTTATCATCTCATTCTAGTCTTCTTGCAAATACAAAATTTTATCGTCATTAATATTTTCAGATTTCGAGCAGTAACTCGTTCATATTATCGGGGTGCTGCTGGTGCTTTGATGGTTTATGATATCACACGACGTTCAACTTATAATCATTTGAGCAGTTGGTTGGCAGATGCCAGAAATCTTACGCATCCAAATACGGTATTCTCACAATGTCTCCATTCTTGCAATATTCTTTGAACTTGAGTCAGTGATATTCTCAGCAAACAGTGCATCAGTAGGGTCTGTTTACCTCGTTTTCATCAGCAGTGGGCAGTCATGCAGTGCAATTCATTATCTATTATCTATTATTTTTTACATCATACAGCTGCACTGTCTAAATTAGACAAATGATGTCACTCCAGTCAGTTTGATTTGCATTACTTCCTTTGCTGTATACTAAGGAACTTTTGTTATTTCTAGTATATTGAAAACCGTGTAGCTTGAATGACCGTGTATAAGTATAATCTATTTCTAGGTAATATTTATGATTGGTAACAAAAGTGATTTGGATGGGCAAAGGGATGTTACATTCGAGGAAGCAAAAGCCTTTGCTGATGAACATGGTTTAACTTTTTTGGAGTGCTCAGCAAAAACGTATGGATTTACATTTCTATCACATTTTTCAATATATATTTTTTATCACTGACTGAATGGCTGAATCAACGGTTGACGAAAAATGTGGTGTAGTGCCGTTTTTAAGCTATGTTATAGTATTCTTGTTGACGTCATTTTTTTAGTGGTGACAACGTGGAAGATGCCTTCTTGGATACGGCAAGAAAAATTTATCAGAATATCAAAGATGGCAGGTTTGTCTTGATCAAATACTCCTGTTTTACTTTATTTTATGCTGTATGTCTTACCGGTTCTTGGAGCATATATTACTTCAAAATTAATGTTAGAAGAAATAATCGACATTACTCATAATTGGGGATGGATTATAAACTAGTAATTTTACTTAATCTTTTTCTTGATTTTCAGTCTTGATTTAAATCAAGCTGACACAGGTGTTCAACCAAAACAAACTTTGCCACGTTCAACACAGTCAGCGGGACAAGAAGGCAAGAATTGTAATTGTTAGCAGAAATTTGTAAATTTATACTTCCAATTATGTTTTTTCTTCAAGCTAACTCTTTCCTGAATCATCAACAATATACGCATTAAATTAGATTCCTTTCTTTTTCCTATAGTCCACAAAGGGCAATAGATAACTTGACTTTTTTATGAATATTAGGTAAAATTGAAAGTATCATAAAAGTTCGTATCTTAAAGAATAATTTCTGGATATCACAAGGTTTCGTTGTTGTATTTAGTTAGGCTGATGTCACTAAGCATATCGTTGTCCATCTAGAGCTGATGCCGAATATGCTTGATTGACATGTATGAGAAATATGACATTTCAGACTAAGTAATGAAAGAAAAAACTTCTGGATCTAGCCCTCAATGAAGAAGTAATTACATGTTTTACTATTTCAATCCGTATACATCCTTAGTTTTACATATTTGGAAATTTACTGTAAATGAATATACAGAAATACAAATATATTAGATGGTATATTTAGTGGTGAAGGTACGATTATGTGTGAGTCGCTAATGCAACTTAGCTGTGTTAACTGCTCTCATACTTGTCGTTAGTAACAACATAGAAAGTTATGTGAATATGCAAAAGCTATGTGAATTTACTTGGGGACTTATTTTTGCTTCAAAGATTCCTAAACAGTGATTGTGCATATTCGGCGTCACTGATGTAGAGCTGCATAATTTGCATTATGTGTAATATTTGTATTTGGCGTTGTGAAACTGTTGCTATTTTTCAAAAAATAATTGTTTTTGCTTTTATCCAATTTCTTCTTTTTTCTTCCCGTTCTGTCTTATCATCTGTGTTTCATATTAATGATTAATGCTTTTTCATCGCAGTTGTTACAAACAACACGTTTTTCTTGTCTTTATCATACTGCATATAATACCCATCATATATTTTGATCTTTTCGCTAAGGCAAACAATCCCTTTGATGTCTTTTTCTTTTTTTTTTTTTTCATTCTTTCTCCCTGTTTGTATGTTACCTTCGTTCATTCGCATGTTTCATTTTACTTATTAAAAAAAGAATACGTTGGGAATATTTGTACATTCTTGAAATAACTTCGTATGTTTGCATAATTTATAGAACTAGAAGGACGAGAAAGAAGGACAAGTGGACAAAGGCCGGCTGACCGGTTCTAATCTGTAAATTCCTTAATTTCATATTTTTATAGTTGACCAGTAATGGGGCTTTACCGATCAAGCAATTGGGCGTTGTTTTTTTAAAAAGTTCGGCCTTTCCGCAATTCAAAGCAAATACATTTTCACTCTCGCGTCATACAGCCATTCATCACTTAAAAGCATTCCAATAACAAATATAAGAGGGTGCTTAACCCATCAGGTAAATCCAAATTCTTACCTATGTTATCGGACTACATTAGCTAATGCATGAAATGCATTTCAGGAACAAAATCATTGTGAGCAATAGGCATAGCCACTATTTTGGCGTAGTCTTTGCTCGATGAGGAACGATGAGGAACAGGTTCATTTGTTTCAAGATATCTATTTGAATAGAAGAAATGTGGTCCGTTGTGGTGGACTAACTCTGATAGGGCTTTAGAGAATTTTTTTGTTCCAAACTTCACATACCTATTCCCTCTTCCTCGCTGCAATTTAGTTTACTCAACGATATCATCGTAATCATAGTAGCGACTTCACACCGGTATTTATTATGAAATTAGTGAAATAAATCAAAAAAGTGAATGAAACAACAGTATGTTCTTGTTTATACGTAATAACAGCAAAAAAATTTAGTCCCCAAACATGAGTAAAAGTGTCCAAAATCTTTGCACAACAAACGAAATGATAATTTCAAAATATACTTGAAGAACCTACAATATGAAATGACCTGTTCTACAAATAGGAATTATCAAACGAACAAAAACTTTCTTGAAAAAAAAAAAAGAAAAAACCAATAAATAAAATTCAAAGGCCGGCAGTACTTCCTCTGCGCCTATGAATGATACCAGAGTTATTGCGTCGATGAAGCATAAAAGGATTTTTAGTTTGCTTCACCAATCGATAACCGACAAGCTGATTCTCCTTTCGTTAGGAGACCTCAATATGTCAAGCTAGATACTGATATTTTTAAATCTGAGAAATGTGCCAATTATAACAAAGATGAGGAAAAATTGAATCTGCGTTAACAACCATACATGATCTATATAATACTGAAAAACGCAACAATTTCTGGAGTCCTACCCTAACCAAATATAATGACACTACAACAAGCATAGCAAGTATACTGCAACATCAAAATGTACTCGAAGTAACCGTTTCTTTTTCCTATTTTGGTATGAAACTGCACTTTAAGGTTAAGATTTGCATTCAAATTTCAAATCCATGATCACAATTATGAATATTGATATAAAGTACGGTTTCCCAAACGAATTATCAGTTAAAAACAAGCAGAGAAAAGGTTATCAAATTTTAAAGAAAATTTTTCGGAGAAAAATTGGTCGAATTCTGATTCTGACAAGAACTAGGTGGTCATCTGCCGTGCATCCATTCAGATGAAAACGTTCACACAAAAGTTTCTTACACATAATGATAAAATATTGTACTTCTACCATCGTTTCTTGTAATCATCAACCGAAACACCACCGGGACCATAGGCGACCAGAAGCAACAGTCCACCAATAACTGACATTGTTTGAAAGAAATCATATTTCATGAAATCACGGTAAAAACGATCTGCTGGCACTATCCACCAAGCATTCAGGTAGAGATTTAAACCAAATAGCCATATAACAAGTACAAAAGCAGAAAGCTGAAAGCATAAATGTAATTTCTTGTTATTAATAACTTCTCATTGTACAACATAAAAAAATACTCGAACAAACATTACGAATTCCTTTTATTGGAGGTCAGTCTTTCTAGAAACAGTTTTCCGAATACGCATTTCACTTTTTCTGCAATATGTTCAATTTAATATGCTTTTTCCTTCTACTAAAATATATTATTTTGAAAACTTATACTTACCTTTGTTTTATATCCAACAAGCACAAGTGTCATCAAAGCTCCACCAACAACTACTTCGATAAGTTTCACAAAATTCCATTCGAAATGAATCAATGACAGGAACATGAATATGAGAAATATTCGCCCTAAAAACAAGAGAAATTGTGTTGAATTCCAGCTAATAAATTATTTTCATAATAATCTCCATCAGCACATTAATAGAAGTTAAACACGAGAAATGCTAAATTAATTTTCTTTATTCACCAAGCGAAAATGTCTTACATCACATATTTCTGGCACCATACAGTGGACAGCCGTTTTTTACCAGGAAAAATATTTGAAGAATGCTGTTATTAACTTTTCGGAGGTTCATAACATTAGTTGAATCGAGAAAATAACTGCACTATTATAAAAAAAATGTTCCAAGAAAATCCGTCCTCCTAAAAACATTGGAAACTAGCATAATCTTCACCAAATCATGAAAGTAAGTTAAGCCTTCGCAACTCAGTAGCGTTGTGAACCTCCCAAAAGTCATAACAGCATCCTTAAAATATTATTTTCATACGTCAACTGTTTTTGGAACTGTTTTTAGATATTTTAAATTAAAATAATATTATACCAGTAAGTAACATAGCAGATTTTCCACGATTTGCATCACCAACTTGTGGGACACCAGCAAAAAGACTTCGATTTTCCTCCTGTGTTTCAGCAAACAGAAGTAGCAAGCCACCTCCAACGGCAACATTTCTACAAAAAAATTGAAGATTTGTTTCCATAATCACCATTGAACGCTTTCTTACAATAAATATTCACAAAAGAGAAATTCACTATATGCGAACCTAAGTAAATTTAGATCAAATTTAGATCTAAAAATGAATGCGCTACATCAAATGAAAAAAATCTTACCTTGCTAAAAATTTCAAATCCCATAGTATATGATAGGCGATTGTTTGTAAAGCAACAACAGAAGCTAGTAAAATGCATGCTATGCCAACCTGAAAGTTGCTATTACTTTACAGACTATACAAATTTAAATAAATCTTTCAAAAATGCAAAAAACTGACCCTTTTACGAATCATAACCATTACAACTGGAATGATCTGACCAAAAAAGTTGAACACAACGAAAAATGTAGCAAGTAACCAACCACACGACCAAGAATCCTGATAGTGAATAGTGAAAGTTTCAACTTTTATGGAAGCTTGGTAATTGCAATCCTTAATTCCCGATACTGTTTTTACTTCTCTAATGAAATATATAAACAGGCACGCCAACCATCAGCACTGCATAATAGCATATCAGTAAAGATGGGAGCAATGCAATGAATAAGTTTTCTTAATTAGTATGAATAATTTCTTGAACCCTAGTACGATAACGATTCCAACTATCATCAAAGTCACAACACAAATGAATTCATGGTTATGTTCAAAAAATATTTCCAAAGTTTCACCTGCATAAACTGCCTTTGATCATCCCACTGGAACCACATACGGATACCATCTTCAATAAATGTTGATATAAGACAAAGCCGTGCTACATGAGGTAGAAAATGTTTTGTATGCCTCAAGATCTGAAATTGTAACTGAAATAAACAAATCATAATTACCTCATCATTTGAGTACCTACCATGTAACATTTACTTTTTTAATTAATGACCTATGAGATCAACTTTTCTGCTTTTGTGTTTATTTCTTCTTACTTTATAACCATACATTTTTTTTTTAATGATGAACTTTAAAAAAAGGAAGAAATATAGATTTATTTGAGTGCAGAAATTATATAAACAATATAGGAGAAAGGCTAATTCACCGATCACAATTCCTGTCTTTGTTACTAACTTCTTATTCATTAAACTGTCCCAAAAAAAAAAAAAAAAAAAAATACATCATCTGCAGCATCTTCAGCTGCTCTCAGAAATTCACGTTGCCCACTTGTTCGAAATTGATCCATCTTTGGAATCTGAGAATATCAACTACATCAAAAAACAGAACCTCATCAATAAAACTAATTTCCAACCGAAATATGGCTGAATCTTTTTTAGAATACTTTTTCATTTCAAAAAAAAAACTTTTCCGATAAAATTAAAAAGCATACACAACGATTTCATGGATAATAAATACGAATAAAATCACATACGCTTTCATAGCTATACGTAGACATCAATGATTACTAATCGTATTAACATTTTTAGATCATACATTAGCATTAATTCGCTAAGCAACATATATGCTAGCAAGAAATTTTCTTCAATATGCCAAAAACAAGAATAGTTAGATTTATCCGAAATAATTTTTACATTAATTAATTCATAATTAATCAAGCAAAAATATCGACGCAATGTTTACCGAACCACCCAAAACCAACAATACCCCATTACTCAAAATTACTACACTACGACAATTGGACACGTCAATTACGCATACATCGAATTAAACGAAGTTTTCTCATAGACAATCTATCGATCAGTGATGTACAAATGAAAATATTTCGGATCTTCTTTAAATTAATTTCTTGCAATGCTTTCTTTTTTTCTTTCAGTATTCTCTATTTTTCTGCTTTCTTCTAAAATGTTTTGATAATTTTTAAATGCTTTTAATTTCAAGAAATTAAATCATCGCTATAACAATTCCAGCAAATTAATCATACATTTAAATTGTTTCTTTTTTCAACTTTTCATTATACAAGTGGTGATTAAATTACTGATTATTAATTGAATTAAATTAGTTAACCTTGTTGATTAAAACTGACATATAATATTAACACAAGCAAATTTCTTATAATATGGAGAAGTTAATATGACACTCATTAATTTTGAATTTTAAAAACAAAATATTATGGTTTAAGAAAAGAGGGAAAAAGTAAAACTTCCAATATAAATCATTAATTTTACAGTCCTCGGAAAGGATGAATGTTACATCAAAGCATTGTTCAATTAATTACTTAATTCTTTATTTTTCAACTTTTTTTATAAGTAATTTCTTAAGCACATACTTATTTTCATCCCTAATTATCCCATCCATTTTCTTTTCACACTTTTTTCATTTCCATTCCTTTCTTTAATTTCATTTTTAGAATTTCACAAAATTCTTATTTCACTGCAATGATGCTATCACATTTCAGAAATTGAAATAGTTATAAGGTGTCACCATGCATTAACAGAATGAAACAAATTCAAATACTAAGAAAATTTTATGAAAATAAGCTATACAGAAAAAACATTCGAGAAAATTCTTTTTAACATCATAATATTTGTTTAGTAAAACAATGGAGAGCTTTCAATTACTCAATTTTCGATACCGATTTTCAAATTAAAGTTATGTAAAAATATTAATTTAATTCAGCTGTCTAATCAAATGTTTAAAACTAGCAATACTTTCAAATAAATGGACACAAAACTAAAATTTTAAAAGTCTTAAAATTTTTTAAAAATTTCAAGCAAAATTTAAATTTAACAGGGATTTTAAAGAAAACAATAGTACTATAAGCAATTAATACACCTTATCAAATTATAAACATTACAAATTAACTTGTTAGAACAAGTTTACACATAGAAAAAAGTTTAATGATGCAATTTACAATTAATTACTTATAATAGGAAATTAAATATGATAGCAAAAAAAGACAAAAGTGAAACTAAATGCAAAATATTCCAATTATATCGTGAATTCCATTCCTGTTAACTCAAAATCTCCAGCTATTCGAAGAGCCATATAGTCTTCATCAGGTTTTATTGTACGATGAGCAAACGTACCATAACGTTTACCATCAATAAATATCTAAAACTTTTCACCAAACTCTGTTTTTTATTTTTAAAAAAGAATAAATAATTTCGAGAACCAACAAATAGAACTTAGCACTTTTATGTGAAATAAATAAGTATAATCTGTTAAATTTATTCATTGCAATTCCATCTCATTAAAGAATAGCATGAAATTTTCAAATAATAATTCATTTTGAATAAAAACAATAAAAAAGTTCAGGTCATAAAAAACGTCTTGCAAAAAAAAAAAGGATCAAAAACACTTATCAAATAGCATTCATGTAGGAAATTAATAACTATGTAATTTTTTAAGTGTTATAAATTAATAAAAGATTTCACATTTAAAAATTCTAAGTAATCTATAAATATTATCATTCTCATCAATATTATAAGGAATTAAGTTAGGCTTAATATAAATGACCTGAATGGAATAAGGTGCATTATGCAAGATAATGTCGGTACCAATATCCTTCTTAAATGGAAATATTCCTTCACGTTCTTCCTGTCCCCAAATGTTACCAATTTGTGCATTGCGTATTACCTCCAATAGCTAATGGCAAGTTAGATAGTTTTACAAAAAGGTAAAAGCAAAGAACTGAAAATAAATTAAAATTGAAATGCATTGAAAATAAAAATGTCTAAAATTAAAATTGATATTATTTTATTCCAAAATATTCTGCAGAAGGATAGAAAAGAAGAATAAATTTTAAAAATTAAAAAATAGCAATTAGTAATTTAAAGGACCTGCTTTTCCTTAAACCGTGGATTGAAGTGAAATAGAATATCACCATTTCTTGATACAAAGTCAATCTCGAAACGTTCACCTTTCGGAATACCATACACGTAAATTCGTTCGTCTGTAATACATCATTGATATATTTCAACCAGATATCAAACGTTATTAATTTATTTTAAATTTTTCTATTAACTTATCTTTAATTTGTTTTTAATGTCATTTCCAATTAACTGTAAATAATTTAATAAATACACAAAATATATTTGATACTACTGAATTATTCAATTTATATAAAAAAAAAAATTGAAAATAAATAAACAATCAAAAAAAAAAAAAAAATAATGAGAAAAAATTACATGGTTATATAAATATCTAAAAGTAAATTAAACTTTGACCTTTAAAAATTTTAATTCATTAGTTGGAATTATGAAAAATTACTTCGTTCGGCAAAAAGAAAAGCAAATAAAATGGAATAGAATAAATAAATAATGTAGAAACAAGATATAAGTTAATAATCTAAATAACTAAAATTACATTTATTGTGCAATATTGTTAGCAAATTTTTTTAACTGTAAAATATCACAGTCAACATTATTAGTCACCTAAAAATTTCATTTTTTTTTTCTCCTTAAAAACTAGTCGGTTTTGACAAACGAGCGTTCTCAATAGATAACGATGTACCTTGATTAGTAAAAACAAATTTAGATATGAATCCGATATATAAATTTAAAAAAAAAAAACTTCATGCAGACCTTCAAACAAAAAAGATGAGACGATTTCTTATTAAATTAATATATTATTAACTGATAAAGTTATTAGTTTTTAGTGATAAGAATTGAGATATAAAAATCAATGCTGATATTTTATTGAATAAAAATACAATTCCTAATATCAAGATATTATACCTGTAAGCTTTAAGAAATTAGTTATTCTGAATGATAAATTAATCAATGAATAGATTTTACATGATAATATAAAATTATAATTTTATTATAAAATGATAACCTACCAGCTTTTAGATGACCACCCGGAAATTGTGTTTCAAATGGTAAAGTATAATATCGACCACCCCAATGTACACCTTTCAAAGAGATATTTCCTCGAATGGTTAAATATTCAACCGAACTGACATTTATACGAGCTTTATAAATATGAAGCTCTTTTTGATTACCAAAAATTTCCAATTTATCCTCGTGAATTCGTATACGAAGATCAAAATTATCGCCCTTTTTGAATGGATTAGATGATTTTTCTTCTTTACCCCATTTACCATTCTAAAATGATTTCATGTAAATGAAAATAAAACAATTACTAATTAATCCAAATTAATTCTTAGATCATTATTCATTGCAACATAAGATCAGATATTTCAGCACATTCGAACAGTACGACAATAGCTGAACATACGACAATTTTTCTTTCCCTTTCTTTTTCTCTCTCTCTCTCGCTCCCTCTCACTTTTTCTTTCTCTTGAGGAAAAAAAATTAGTGGATATTAAATTATGAAATATTTCATTTCAAATCTTACACAGATTCAATTATCAATTGCATTATTCTATTAGTTTTCTTTTTATAAGGAAATGAAATGATAAAATAATAAATTATTATTGCATAAAATCTTATAATTAAAAGGAATTGAAAGCTTATCACATTCGAAATTAATCTAAAAATGTTTAGTTAAAAAAAAATCTCATCCGTTATTTACTGTTGTTAAAACTATCAGTGGGAATTATTAATGATAATAAATAATTTAAATTCAATATGTTAAGAATTACACTTCAAATTAACTTTTATTATATAATGTTCTAAACGTTTCATCTCTTTCCTATAGTTCTAAAAAATGAAGCAAATTTTCATTGAAGATAAACTTCAAACCTCGTAACTGTTATAAACCAATCTATTTTCCTTAAAATAAACTTTTATATGAAAAATGGCAGCTTTTGATGATTCGATATTTGGTGAGCCATTTAACAAATTCACTTCAAATCTATAAAATTATTTATTGATATCAATAAATATATATGAATGGATAAAATTGTTATTAAAATTTTCTATTTACATCTTGCGTAATATGATACCTTAATGTTACTGATAAAAGTTTATAAACTACTATTACTTATACAGTTAACCTGAATAAGTTGTTAATTTAAAAAGTATATTTTTGAGAAAATTCATTCATGCATCAAATTTCATGATAGATAAATTTGAATTAGCATTTGCAAATAACATGTTTAAATAAAAAATATACAACTTGATCCAGTAATATATCAATACTAGTTGTTTGAAGATATCATTTGAAGAGTCATTCATTTTTTTTGACATTTTTTTAGAATTAGCATAATTTCAAAACGACATTTTTTTCGATTTTTTTTTCTGTTAATTTATTTTCTTTCATAACATTAAGCATGATAACGCATTTTATCACTGTGATTATTATCACTTACTCAGATGCATCATTTTCGATACTACCGTGAATGACAAGTGTTTGACCAGGCTGCAATTTAGCACCAAGTTTTGAAATGTATGGAACTGGAATAGTTGCGTCACCTGGATGAGCCTAAACAAGAATAATGATAAAAAGAAAAAACAAAGACTAAACTTGAATTTGATAAAATATTGATTTATTAACAAAAAAAAATTATTAATTAGTAAAAGACTACCTATTTCTAATATGTATGTAATGAAATATTTGATCTAATGCAACATTTAATGAAATATTAATAATTAATAAAATATTTTATGTGAAAAATAACACATCTCAACTTAAATCAATCAGTTTTTTTTTTTTACATCTAAATAATTTTAAATTTTTGATTACTAATATTTAGTTTTTTTGTTTTCTTTACTATTATATTAAATATATTTTCTATTTCTTATCATTCCGAAAAAAAAACGAAATCAGTTTAATGGATTGATTAAACGTCGCATTAATACATGAAAGAATGAAGCTTTATTCATACTATTAGAAAAAATTTTTTCCTTTTCTTTTTTTTTTAAAAAAATTCTTTTTTGAACAGTTCAATTTATGATCATATATATATATATATATATATATATATCTTTCGAAGTTAAAAATTGATCAGAGAACTCAAATTTTTCTTATATTATTCTTGGACTTACAATGTGGGATAATTTTATAAGCTTTTCGCATTCTATCAGTTGATAATATATAAAGATTTTTTCCCGAAACAAAACTTTTTATCATGCTTTCTTCTTTTGTCATATCATAAAAAATAGTTTCAAAAAATTGCTGAAAATAATCATTAATCAGTGATATAAACAAATTTGACAACAAGTTATAATAGTTTTAGCCTACTTACTTAAAATTTGAATACATCAGTTCGGGAGGTACCGAATTCAATTATTGCAAAGTTTCTTTAACAAATATGAGTAAAATTATTGCGGGAGTAATTAGAGAGAGAGAGAGAGAGAGAGAGAGAGAGAGAGAGAGAGAGAGAGAGAGAGAGAGCTATTATGATTACAAAAAGGAAAAGTTAATTAAGAGCTTACCATCGAAATTTATTTTAACTTGAAGTTTAGTAAATTTTTGTAGTGAAATAAAATAGCTGCAATGTTGTGAGCTAGCTAGCTGTAAACAAGAAAGAATAAAACTGCAAAGGAAAAGCACAGTAAGGGAGGAAGAGGAGAGAGAAAAAGAAGAAAGATTGACAATATAAACTGATTGAACGGAAAAAAAATTAATTGGTAAATATTTCAAATATAACGAATAGATAAAATAGGAGAGACACAGAGAGTAAAACATAGTATGGAAATGAAAAAGTTAACGAAATTTGAAGATAGAAGAGAGAACGTGTACTTTCTTTAATTTTCAAAATGTGACGTTACATAGATATGAATCGTTTTATGAATCATCAATGATTGTTGTCAGTTAAAAAATGAGAAAGGAGCAAAAGGTTGAAGTAGGGCAAAAAAAAAAAATCCAAAAAATACAAAAGTACCAAAAAGAAAAATTCTTTTTTGGCTATGCATTTAATTATTTTGCTAAATTTTTATTTTACATGAATCATCACACAAAATATAATTCGATTATTGTTATAAATTAACTGTGTAAAGGTTTTAAAGTTATTGGGCGAAAATGATGATTAATTGGGTGAAGGATAGAAAATAATTAAGTAATGATTATAAAAGTAGAAGAGTAAAATTGGTTTAAAACAAAGAAGCAAAAAATGAGAGCATTCATGAATTATTAATTATTTTAGTTTCATATAGCACACAAGTAAATTGATGAACTTTTCTGGCTTAAACTTGTGAAGTATTTAAGTAGAAGTTGTGTAACTATTACATATGCTATAGCAGTTGGAAAGTTTAATGTGCTATACTTAATTTTTCAAAAATTCATTTTTTTTTAATTTGAGAACGAAATTTTATTACCAAATTAAATACTATAAAAAAAATAATGTTTGTTTTAATGTACAAAGAATATAAAAAAAAAAATTATTGGTATAATTTTCAATATTAGTTTCACTTTTTTTTTTTCACAACATAATTTTAAGGTTGTTTTAACTGTAGATTTGCACAAAAGCAAAATAATAGGTTTTTTTTTTAAAAAAAAAAGAAGACGCGGATGAGTTTCAATATTGAATAGTACTATTTCCTTCATTAAGTAAAAATTATGAAACTGAAAATTTGAATTAAAACAAATAAAAAGATAGAATTCATGAAAATTTAATTAAACAGCATTTACATTCTTTTTTCAAAATTTCTTATTGCCAACATTTTTAATTGCAAGAAATAATGTATTTTATTTGATTAATTTTTTCTTTTTTTCTTTTTTTTTGTTTTTTATTTTTTGATTATTCCCTAATGTCAGTAAACAATTCACTCATACTTCCTCAAATTTATGAATGAAAAAATATTCCTTTTTTCTCTAAATTTTCTCATAGATTTATATAGGTGAAACTTGTTTTATTCGAATATCTATCACAAGAGTGAAAAAAAAAAATTTTTTTTTCCCTTTCAATATCTGCTGAAACATAAATATCTGCTCGGACATGATCCAAGCGATTTCATATCGTCCAACCTTTTCATTTCATTGAATAGTCGTGACACAATGGCGAATCTTCTGGTGATGTGGTTGTAGGTGACGCAGCCATGAGCGACGTTTTGTAGCATGTGAACAGTTGCAGTTATGTGAGGCAGTTTGATTAGATGTGGTGGCGTTGCTAAACATGGATGTGGAGATTTTTCTAAAAGAATTTTAAGCAATAGTTTAATACTACGTTTTTGGTACATTTTACAAAGATTAATGTGATAAGAGTTCAGAGTGATGCATTTTTTTTTTTTCTGCTAGCAAATGAAAAACATTAAGGTGGAAATATGTCAGCTGCGGATGGTGGCGCAGCTGCATTGCTTATCGCAGGACTTGGTACTGGTGGTACCGACGTAATGTATGAGGATGATCTAACGGATAATAGTATTCCGGATATACAGGTGCACTTCACTTCATTATTTGTTAGAATATAAGTCATCAAGTTATGCTATGTCTTTCAGTGGAAGGGATGAATAGACAACTGATAGGGGCACGTGAATATAAAAGTTTATGTGTAGGTTTACTTTTAATTGTAGGTAGTAATATAGGTGTACTTTATTTAAATGGTTAGAGACTTAGTCAATATATTTTCATACATCTACTAACTTTAATGTATCTACATCCCTATGGATGGTAGATACATTAAAGTTACCTATGGTATATTTAGCTAGGTTTGCCTTTTAGTCTTGTAGTTTAATAGGTAAACCATACGCTTGATTTATTAAAGATTGATTATCGTTCCATCGAACAAAAGTCAGGTTATTCTTTTTTTTTAGTTATTCTTTTTTTTTTTACAGTACATTTCCTTTCTTAATTAATCTTTTGCATAGTAGTACATGTTTTCCATTTATGATGCCAATTTGGTTCGTGATACTCCATCATATTTTATAGAAGATAACAAAGAAGAACAACATTTTGCCACTGTGGGGCAATACGCAAACGATGAATTTAAATGCTTTGGTATTGGAAAATATTATCCAGTGCACTTATTACAAAAATTACCTTGCGGAAACTACAGGATTTCAACAGCTTACAGAGGAAATTTATTACAGTGTAAGTTGTTTTGTGTTTTAACATGTGTGAAGTAGAATATTCCGCTATCTTTTCTATTTTCATCGACATTTGAGTAACTGCAATTCCATATATGAAGATTACGGTTTCTGGCATAACGTGGTAGTTCTTGATTTTATAGTAATGACACTTTTCCTACTTACTAACTTTATTTCAGGTGAAGCATCTCGAACCGTGGGAGCGCGGTACACGAAAAACACAAGGGATGACCGGCATGTGCGGCGGGGTCAGTCGCTTAAGTGGTATTCCTTCTTTTCCTGGTATTCTACATCTTCTTTAATTGAGAACTTAATAAACTATAGTAAACATAATCATCTTATATACGCAAGTTAACCTCTAGGTACGAGGTGTTGGTGCTGGTGGAGTGGTGAGTACGGCATTCTGTCTTCTTTATAAACTTTTTACAATTCGGCTCTCCAGGTATGGATTTAATAGTGAGTTACGATTGCGTTTATTTTTGTGACAAGTCATTGCAAATATTTCATTTTTTCAGTGGATTTTCATCTGCAACTGTTTTATGGTATATTTTAAGATACATTGCGCATTTAGTACGTTTTTGCTTGTAATTTAATATATAACATATGCGCAGTAGCATTTTGTGGCTAAGCAATAAGTATGCCATTTTAAATTATCTCGATGAACATTGTTAATTGTAAGTTAGTAATGTTCAATGAGACAATGTAAGTTGGTAATTGTTGCTATAGCTCTGGTTTTTCCAACACTGGATGCTATTGCTAAGATTTCAAAGTACGCTTGATTTGTCGCAGAATTTTAGGAAACAGCTAGTTAGTATGATTAACAACAGCGATTCACCGTACATACGAGGTATTGGATTCATGTACATCCGATTTTGTCAACCACCACAAGATTTATGGGCCTGGATGGAACCGTATTTGGTAAGTGTTAGTGATCGGTATTCACTAAAATATTTAAAAAAAAATCCTATATTGAAAGGACTTTGCTTGCATCTGTTTGAGTTTGTGTTTGCTTCCTGGATCCTGTTAGGATTCTCGACACTCTCATGCTAATAAAACATTGGTTTTGAAACAGCAATTTAATTACTTTAAAAAGAAAAAAATTGTTGTTGCTAAGGTTCCGTCTTTTTCTAGGATGATGAGGAACAAATCGATCCACGTTCTGGTGGTGGTGATGTAATGGTAATGGCACAAGTTGTAAAGATGATGTTAACTAAACTGGACTGGTATGGTACACTATTTCCGCGAATACCTGTTCCAATTCAGGTATAAATTAAATTAACAGCGGATTTCCTCTGCTGAACCTATTTATGTATTGCATATCATCTGAATATTGTAAGACCTAAAGGCAAGGTGGAGATGTTTTAGGAGCATGGGAAATCTGCAGTGTAGGGCTTTGCATGGAAATTATTGAGAGGTGGAGTGCTTCATATTACAATACTGAGGTTAACCCATTAGCCCATTTGTTTAGTTTTATCTAGTCTATTTATATGAAGGACTGAGGATAAAAGTTTCATGGATTTGCAGAAGGAAATTGAATTGAAATTTCGAGAGAAAGCGAAACTAGATTATCAACGAGAACATGGGTAGGTTTTACTCTTGATATTTCTTTCTTAACTTTTCGTATATAAAGAAACATTCTCACTATTGGTTTTCGGAATAAATTTGAATTTGCTGCATTTTAGAGAATAATGAATTTTCTAATACAGAGATCGGGAAGCTGATTATGAAAGACATCGAAGTCGAAGCAGATCACGAGACCGATTGCGAGAGAGGTCGAAAGATCGAGACAGAGACAGGGATCGAGAGAGATCTCGTGAACGTGATAGAGAGAGAGATAGAGATAGGACTAGAGGACGATCTCGAGAAAGGAGGCGAGATTCCAGGTTAGTAAATCTAATCATTACAACAATAATAGTCTAATCGTTATAACATTATAGTATTAACTACCATAAGATAAGCGCAGATAATATAGTATTTTTTCTGTTTTTGGATGTGACCAAAACATGAGTTAATCGTTTTTCCCAAAGATTAGATTTTCTAAAACAAAAACTTGTCATTATTAGCATGAAGATATGCTTATCCAAACTGCTGTACGTATCAGATCTGATTACTTTTCTTTGAGAGTTGCTTCTTTACATATTTGTTTCTGTAAATATATATGGCGATTGGATTTTTTTGTATAATATATATTGGTTGCTGATTATTAAAAAAAAAAAGAAAAAAGTGGGTACTGATTATTAAAAATATCTATATATTCTAGGGGCAGATCAAGAGAAAAATCTACTGCAAGATCCAGTTATGCTAGTGACAAAAAGCGGAAACATGGTGGTAATCGATATAAGTGTAAACATCATTTACGGCATCACCATTGCCGAAAACATAAGGAATATTGTCCAGCAAAAGCTAAAAAGTAAGATTTTACTTAAAACGTATTGATTTTTATTTATATGTACCTAAAATGAGGAATCGTGATATATTTTTTTTTCACTCCGTGTAAAAAATGTTTTATTGAAATAAGATTTCAGTTAAGGAATGGAACAGTCACTTGTCTAACAATGTATTCTCTCTTGAATTTTTTTTTTGACTACCCAATATTAAATTTTCTTTTACTTCATTGATAAAGCACAAATAGGGTCACAGGATAAGATGTATTTCGGATGTCTGCTGTTTCATTTCAGAGCACTATCTTTCTGTTTACAATGTACGAGCAAATTTTCTTTCATTTCAAAGAATCATATATATTGATGTTTGATGTTGTATAGTTTTACTGATTTCAGGGCATGTCAGGAGAAATTGGAGAAAAATACAAAATCTTGAAGCAGTCTCTATGTTTATCTATTTTCATATCTTCTTTTTTTGACATTTGCTGACTTATGTCAGAAATAAAAATGTGCATTGCTCTAAGTTATATGGTTATTGCAGTTACTGATATTAATACGCAGTCTTTAGAACTGCTCTGTGATGCATAACATTACTCGTTTAATTCAAAATGTTAGATCGATAATACTACTCGTATGACGATTTTAAAGATTATGAGAATTGGATGATTTGATAAGAGCTTTTGATATAAATGAGATCGTGCGATTGAAAAAGTGGTGTCTGCAAATATGTTTTTGATAAACCGAATGTGTTTGTGATTTGTTCGTAATTAATGTTTTAAGGAAGAGATCGATTTGTTTCTATGATTTTACTGATTTATGTTACGTCAACATAACTGGTAATATTACCTCAGTCTTTGGGAATCAATGTATGTCCTTTCTTTCGTAATACTCTTCTCCTTGATGTTACTTCGGTTCAGGATGAGGCTTCTGTTATTGCATTCCGGTCGATTTTTTCCTTATTAAGATATCGCTATGTTATTGAATGCTTTTGGACATCAATAAATCATGTATAGATGTTGTTTACACTATTTTCCATGTGATTTTACAGTTCACTTTTATATTTACTTTGAACATGGCTTATGGTACTGTCGGAGATTTTATTTGTACGATTATTGATCGATTTTATTATAGGTCATGTCGGATGCTGGAAACTGGTGCCTAATTGAATCTGATCCAGGCGTTTTCACCGAACTGATTCGTGGATTTGGTGTTTCTGGTGTGCAAGTTGAAGAACTCTATAGTCTAGATAAGCAGCTATTCAGTGATCTGAAGTATGTGGATCTAATTCTGTCTGTTGAAAGCATTTTGATTGGTTATTGTTTTTAGTTTATTGGTTTATAATTTTAGACCGGTTCATGGGTTGATATTCTTATTTAAATGGCGCGCAGGTGAAGAACCTTGTGGAAGCTTGGTCCTCGACAATAATCGAGTTTTCTTTGCACAACAAGTAATTCATTTACTTATTAACGTAGTAGAATATTTCTCTGAATCGTTTTAAAATTCTTGTATATATGAAACTGAAACTGTACTTTCCTACTATCTTTTCTCAGTAGATAAGCTCGGATACCAATAGCGTTGGTTGTATTAATTACCATTAATTACTGATGTTGCTGAAACGATAGTAGGTGACTGATGTGCACTTATATTGATATGTAACCGATTTCACACTGCAGGTGATCCAGAATGCTTGTGCTACACAAGCATTAATAAATTTACTACTAAATACAAAGACAGAATCAGGTATCGTGCTTGGTCCAATTCTGGAAGAATTTAAAAGTTTCACGCAAAATTTTGACCCTATGGTTAGTATTTGCGCTATACGATATAGGCCATATTACATTTTCGGTATTCCAAAATATCTATATCTGTATCAAGTTCATAATAAGCAGCGCAAATTTTACATGAAGAACTTTTCATTTAGAAATACCGAATTCATGTTTGTTTATGACTTTCTTGAGCATCCAACTGTGTGGAAATACTTTTTGATTCTTATGGAACTCCAACAGCGTTTCTTGCAGAATTTTGAAGCAAAATTATTTTTTTTTATTCTAAGATTTTGGTTTATAATTTAAGGAACTACCAATATAGAGGCATATATTTCTTTTGGTTCATTCTATTACTTGTGAAATTTTATATGATACACATGCGTGAATAGGAGTATGTTGGTTTATTTTTAGAGTTGCATTTCTAGAATTTTATGGTTATCCACTTTCAGAATCGTGGTTTATGTCTAGGTAACAGCGAACCAATTAGGAAAGTCCATAACAGTTTTTCACGGCAACACCTTTTTGAACTGGATATTAAAGCTCCGGAAAAGGTTTGTTGTTATTTGTACTTGCAATATGGTAAATCAGGAAAATTGTATAATTGACATCTTTGTGTATGAGCTGAATTGAATCCTGATGTAGAAATGCTGAAGTTGTTGCTGCCAATGGTGGTTGGGAGTTTAGTCATGTTTGATAAAGATCTTATTGCAAATATTATTATTTAAAAAAATATCCTAGTATGCAGGAGGACAATTATCATTTCATCACGTACATACCTGTGGATGGTCATATCTATGAATTGGATGGTCTTCGTGAGGCACCTTTGGATTTGGGTACTATTAGAGAAGGTGAAGATTGGTTGGATGCTGTGCGACCAATCATCAATGCTAGGATCCGAAAGTAAAAGTTTATCTTAAATAGCTTATCGTTGAAACGCAATGCTTATAGTACTATTGCCACTAGAATCATATTACTCTTTGTAGTAAAATCTTCAATCATAAAGTACTTTAAGGTATAGCGCAGGTGAAATTCACTTCAATTTGATGGCTGTTATTTCGGATCGAAAAATGAAATACCAAAAACGTTTGGCCGAACTCGCTGAGGTAATTTTCTTACGGCTAGAATCATGTTTCTGTTCTTGTATACGATATTTTTGTGATTAGTTAAATATTTGCTTACTTCAGTGTTCAATAATCTTTACAACTCATCTGGTAGTATAAAATGCTCAATCTTATGGGAGGTTGTACCTTTTTGTGATTTCAGTTGTTTGCGTTTTGTTAAAATTCGGATCTTCCAGATATTTTGTTTTTCAGTCAGCGATGGAGACCGATAATAAAGTGGAAGAAATGAATCATCTTCAAGCACTGATTGCTGCTGAGGAAGAAAAGGAAAAATCATTCAAAGCAGAAAATATTAGACGTCGCCATAATTACATACCGTTTATTGTCGAGATGTTAAAGGTATTAGCTAAAGAAGGCAGGCTGGTACCACTGGTGCAAGAGGTAATTTTGTATTTTTGTTTACCTTTTATTTATGTGCTAACTTATTTTACTTTTTATTTATATACTGATTTATCAAAGTTTTTGAAGCATGCTACTTAAACCAGTACCTGTTTTGGGAAGTATTTCCATTTCATGTCCTTCGATTCAAAAATTTTTTTCTCTTGAATTTGCAGGGTTTTTTTTTCAAGTTAAGATATTTTTTGTCATAACTGTTTTCTATAGGCGCAAGAAAAAGCAATTCGTAAAGCAACAGAGAAAAAATCGGAAAAATCGAGAGTTAAGATCTAATTTATTATTTTACTGTATGTACGATAAAAATGGCGCAGATTTTCACATATTTGATTTCTTGCTAGATAAAAAGAAATAAAAAGGTCTATTTACAGTTTTGTGTCAAATGAAGGGCATAAATAATAAATGCTTGCGGTTTTTTTTTTTTTTTTTCATTTCTACAATCGCAATTATAATTTGCTCTCCTGGAGTTTCTGTATGGGCAGAAAAGGAAACGAGTAATTTTTTCACCTGTTGAATTATTTCCATGATTTTTGTGTCAAGATATGATTCGCATATTCCCACTGAAATATTAGTATTTACATTTATAATAGTGCAAGCTTACCATAAAGTTTAAAAATACTGATTACAATAATTTATTTTCCATTGTTGTTCAGTTCTCGTACATTGTGTGGTTTATCTGTATCAATTGGATTGTGACACATTTTACCATTTGTTAATTCTTTATAATGTAAATTTCATAAGCTTATCCAATTTAAGAAACAATATGAAAAGCTTAAAGAAATTATTTGGACAATATAAAACTGAAATGTCTGATGATTATGCAATGCTTTGCATTCAAACTCGTCTTCGTATGGAAATTGACAATCAGGTTGTATAATACTGCTACAGCATTAACAAAATGAATAAGCAGGAGTTTGAGGGGAAGTGACAGAAAGAGGGAGTATATACACCTGTCGTCTGTACTATATAATTTGATAACAAAGTTGGCGAGTATTTTTACATGTGAAGTGATTGTCACTAGGAAGTAGTGGTTACGCTTCTGATATCTTACATTATTAACCGGATAAGGTGGTTCCACTTAAGCCACATCGTATATTATCGTATTAAGAGTATAGGATATGAAACAATAAAGTATCAGAAATTCTCCAGCAATAATTTTTGTAATAATTTATTTCATTGTTCAACTTCTCTTTAATCTTCAATGAACATTTGTATTTGTACATGCTGTTTACGAATTTAACTAAAACAAATACATTTTTAAAATTTCAAGACTTACAGTATTACCATATTGATAATTTTAACTTTGTGAAGTTGATAACAGTATTAGTTTTAACAAAATATTAAATTCAGTTAAAAAAAAAAACACTATTTCAATCAATAAATGCAGGTAATAATGTTTCAATCTCAAAGGAAATCTAAGTGATAAGGATAACTATTGCAATTGTAAATAGTTTGTTTTTACAGATTCAACATTATCAGCAAAAATTTAAAAAATTTCAACCGCAAATGCATAAAAAGAAGTCAAAACTATTGTATGCAGTATTCAGTATGGAATCTGTAAAATATGATGCTGAAAAGATAATGCAAACATTTGTATGGACTGCACTTCTCTTAACAACACATTCTATTTTCTCAGCCCTTTCTGCATTTTTCTTTTCAATCCTAATTAGACAAATTATTAGGTAAAATAAGTAATACTTTTGATCTAATCTAAAACTACTTATTAACTGTTAATCTTTATTTATTAAATATTAAATTTAATGCAAGCAATGATTTTATCTTCCTTTCATTCATTCAGTTATGTGTGTAAGCAGATTTAAGTGATAATTTCTTATCACAGATAAATGCTTTCATATTTCTCAACTAATAAAACTTTTGAAAAGTCATTAAATGTGTTTATTTTATTTATAAATGATTGACATAACAATTATTATTTCAGTGATTTTATGGCTACTATTTCTGCCTATGTTCTTTTACCATTGATAACATATCATTATATAAACAGATTATCAGCTAAAAAATATGCGTGGAATGATATAATATTGCGACACGAGTTACTTACACTTGCTATGATTGAAGTAAGAAATGGCATCCATGAATATTTAAATATGTATATACAACTAATGAGGCTAATAGCTTATAAATAAAACTTTAATTAAATAAATTACTTGTAGGGTTTATTAACAGGTTATGCACTCTCGAATCGTACACTTCATAGTTTGCCACCATTTACCGCATTGACACCATGTTTTTATTGGTATTATTGCCCCACTGATTCAATCAACATTAAGAAAGTAATATTTTGTCCTATTTCGATTAAAGTGGATAACTTTTTTCTGATGTAAACATATTTCGATTCTACTGCTACTGTTATTATTACTAGTACTAGGTGTGATAATCAAAGTGGCTATTTAAAAAAAGAAAAAAGCAAGTAAATTTTTTATTATTTTTTAAGAAAAGTAACAAAGAAAGAAAGAAAGTAAAGTCTTTCTTTCTTTCGTTTTTTAAATGATTATTCATTGTTATTCGTAATTACAATCGGTGGTAGTTTTTCTGGCCATATACTAATTGGAATGCTGTTTGGTTTAACTTTCCCTTACATACTTTTGGTTATTTTTTATACAGCAATTGGATTTATCACATTACAATTATTAGCTGCAGATAATGATGAAAATATGGTTTGTATATTAATCCAATTAATTAAACACTTCTTAATTAGATTTTTATCTTTTTTTTACTATCTTTGTACAAGACTTTTTCCCAGAAATCTTCTTTTAACGTAAAAACGAATTAAAAAATTAAAGAAAAATTAATTAACACTTGAGGATTGAAATAATTAGGTTGTAATATAACTAATTAATCAAATCGTCAAAGAATGATGGTGGCATAATTTTATGATAATTAATTATCATCTTACATTATTGTTATTATACATACCATTTCATTTATTTAATAATTTAATGATGACATAAAAATTACAGGTATTCACGCATTTCTATCAACTTTCTATTCTTTATTTCTCATTGTTGGCAGAATCTTTTGTGTACAAATTATTTGGCAGAAAATTATAACATAATAATATTTTAATTTGGCTAACAAAAAATGAAAAAGAAGGAAAAGAAAGAAATGAATATATAAAAATACATCGCTCAATTATACATTTGTTTAATTCTATGAATTTCATTTTAAATTAATTTCAAAAAAAAAAATGAAGTATTTTCAACATAAAATTATCATTGAAATAACAAAAATGACAAAAATATGTTCAAGAAATAGTGATAGAAGAAGAAATGGCTGAATTGTTATCTTTTAATTGCTTGTAGTTTAAATGTAAAACATTAATATGAAGTTTGTTAGAAATTGATTAGATAGTGATGAAAATGACAACTTCATTCAACGTTTTTAGAAGTTAAAATGATAGAGAGACTTCTGTTAATTACATGAAATTATATAAGTCAAAGATTTGTTTGGAAGATTTTTATGAAATAGAGCATTAGGGAGATAAAAGAAAACAAGGAAATAATACAAGATGGATAGTTGAAAAACAGAGGGTTGAAGGTCAACAGACTAGTAATTAAACAATACAAATGGAAGCTTTACTTTGCTAATAGAAATGATAATTGAATGAATGTAATTAGAGAATGGAGATAAGGATATTGCAATGTAACCTTATTGTATTATCCAGTAAATTAGATGAAAATAGCACTCAATTCACTATCTCTCCTCTAAAAGTTAATTAAATTTTCTCAATTGACATTTACTCTGATGAGCTTGCTTATCCAGTTAGTTAGTAATCGGACGGAATATGTTAGTGCAATAATGTTAGCTATATTTAATGGATATGTTAGATTAGAAGTAAAATGAATGCTTTAGGCTCATTGTGGTATTTATCTGCATAATTCCAAATTTTTTCATATCTACTATTTCAGCTAAGTAAATAATGTGTATATATAGGTAGATAGATTAAATTAGATCGGATAGATAGATAGATAATGATTGTTGAATTCATTCTTTTCTAACCAATTCTCTAATTCATTTATTTGGGTTTACTGTAGCATTCTAGAATAAATCTATTTGATGATATTGGTAGGACTCTCTCATTTTTTGGAGAGGAATGAAGAAAAGGAAAATAATAATGGTGTGTAGTAAGACTTTAAACGCAGATTAAATCTTGTCTTTTTGATATATCAGATATAGTTGTCATCCAATGATGACTGCTAACTCCACCCGCATTGTCGGGGGAATAAAGGATTGCTAAGAAAGGGATAAAAAGAGGATTTACTGCCAAACAATTTCTATCATATTATTAAAGGATCCTACTGTAGTTGCAATAGCAGCAGCAGTTATAACGTGGTGACTAGTCATAAAAGTGTTACTTGTGACATCATCATCATCATCATCATTATCTTTGACATCATCAATATCATGTACCCAATTCAATCATCAGAATTTATTTCACCATTTGAGAATAATAATAATAATGGTAACAATAACAATGGTTGTAATAATATTAATAAAAATAAACATGGTAATAATAATAGTGATAATAATGGTAGTGTGCAACCAACATGGTTCCAGAATTTCTCGTCAGTTTATCCTGTCTTTCCATTTCTATCACAGACTTCGTTATCGTTTGCTGAACGAACATTATCAAAAAATACATCAGCACCACTGCCATCATCATCATCATCATCATCACCATCAACATTAACACTACCTTCACTTCTCCCAACTGATCTTTTTATGTCAACAATACCATTTCCTGTTACACTAATACGTGGTGATAAACTTCAAATGGTTAACCTTCAATTACAATTAACTTCAAATGAAAGCGGTATGATTTGAAATCTTTTCTTTCATGTTAAATCTATCCAATGTTCATTCGTTATATGCAGTATCATACTATACCGTATCCTAACTATACAATACTCCTGCTATATTAAGTGCTGTTTAGTATTATTACAATCCTATTTTACACTTGCATTACATGGATATATGTTAAAATTATATACACTTATAAATTTAATCACTTTTCATCATATTATTATAATCAAGACAAATTTGCTGCGTATGGTTTAAGTAGATATCAGTATAAATATACTATAACCATTACCATTAACTATCAGAGAATTGAGAGCATTGTAAATTAATGGAATCAGAATGTTGTGTGTGCTACTATTTGCGAACTCTTTAAACGCTTATATTTTTATTAACTACTAGGTGGAAATAATTTTAGTGATGGTAATTTTTGAATTATATATGAACAATATCAACTATTAATTAATGAAATAAGTATTGATAATAATAACTGTCAATCTTGTATGAGAACTAAGTGTTTTTTTTTTTAATTCGAATACTTGAAATAATAAGTAATGATTAAGAATAAAAAGAATTTTGCATGCTTTTATAGTAATAAAAGATATCTTATCAAGCAAAGAATATTGTGATAATGTCTTACTAATATGCTTCGCATGTGCTGGACGATATTTTCACGTGATATTTTGCTCAGCACCGAATGGTTTCAATAGGGGTGATCAATTAACTGTTAGTTACTTATTACTACTATTTTTTGTATAAACTATGACTTTTAAATAGCGTTTCCTTCTGTCTTTACTCTATTTCTATTGTTGTGCTTCATTATTTTAGTTTATTGTTAACTTTAAAGACAATCTTGGATGAAGTATCATATTGCTAGTACTAAAAGATTATTTAGATACCATCAAAATGGCAATCATTGTGTAAAACAGCAAATAAGGAGGAAGCTAATATTTGGAATGGAATTGTTCTTCGCCCTATTGAATTTGGTCAAGAAATAATTATTTGTAATGAGCCTGAAACATTGACCCTTGAGCCAAGCAAAATGCTTCAGAATGATAAAGAAGGCCAACAACTGGAAATGATACAACAAGGATTAACTCATGCAGGTTTATATTTCATTATTATTTGATATCTACTAAGTATATTTTATTTAAAATTGTGTATTTTTTATCCTGTTCTTTTTTTAGTAATCGTAAATCGTACATTATTATTATTATTATTATTATTATTATTATTATTATTATTATTATTATTATTATTATTATTATTATTATTATTATTATCGTTATTATCATTCATCATTATTATTGTTATTAATAATTGTTATTTTTTTTTTATTATTGTCGCTGTTAGTAGCTAATATGATGTAAAAAGTAGAAATGGTATTAATTCAGTAACAACTTATAACATTAACTTATGACTTCCTTCTTCTTCATTTTCAAGCACCAATTTAGGCCAATTTCAAGTACTTGTTTAGAACCCATTTCAAGTGCCAATATTACATTTAAGCCAAATATATGTTACAGTCTTTTATAACTACTATTGGACAATGGGTGTGTCTGCATTACTTATAGTTCTGTCTTACATTAATCAAAAAGTAATACATAATGCACTTAACAATTTGACATTAAATTTTTCGATCAATGTAAATATCGATAAGAAAATTTTGTGATAGATAAATCTGATATTCAAAAAAAAAAAATTCATTAATGTATTTTTCATAGCAATCAATCAATCGATTAATGATTAGTAAACCATTACATATGCTTAAAACTTTAGATTTCCAATTTTAATATTTAGTGACGAAACTAACATTTGTAATAGATATACAAAAATAAATTAAATACCTAATTTATCTTTCTATTAAAATACTAAAGAAACTAAGATGACCTTTCCCTATTATTTTAGTAAACGCTATTTAAATTTTAAATAATAATGACATAGACGAAAGAAAGATAATTAAGATAATCATAATTGATCATGATGATAACAAATGATAGAATATCAATATGGCCTCATAAATAATTTTTCTGGCACTTACTAAGATGTGTCACTATACCTCGCATATAATTATTTCAATGTTTATTAAATACGTCTTATTATTATTATTTCCGTATTGTAATAAAACAAATAAACAACATAATTTAATCATAAAATTAATAAGGAAACTTATAGAGCACATTGGTGGTTATAAATGTGATCGTTGTGGTAAAATGTTTACTTATGAATATTATCGTGAAAAACATCTCAAGTATACACGATGTGTTGATCACGGTGATCGTAAATTTCGTTGTTCCATTTGTCCACGGTTATTTATAATTAATTTATGTTTAAATTAAAATTTTTATTTGTAGTTAAATTTTTACATTTTTTGAAAAGGAAATTTTGTTTTAATTATTTGATGAAATTTTATTAATTATAGTTTTTTAAAGTAATTTTTTATGAAAATAACAAAATATAATATAGATCATTCGAGAAACGTGATCGATTAAGAATTCATGTATTGCATGTGCATGAAAATCATCGACCTCACGTATGCTCCACGTGTGGTAAATCATTTTCTCAATCATCAAGTCTCAACAAAGTATAGCTTATTTTTTCCTTTTTTTTTTTTAATATTTTAAAAAATAATGGAACTTTATGTTTCATATCATTCCAATAGACATAAAATAATTTTCTTTGTTTTATTCAATAATACTTCCCAAAATAGTTGATCTGATTAAACTGAATAATGCAATTTAAGTTCTATTTTATGAAAATAAATTAATACTTCAATCAGTTAATAAAAAATGAAGTTTCCAAGCGACTTCCTTTCGAAAGGAAAAATGGAATAACTTAAAACTTAATTATTTAACCGAAATAAATGCAAAAAAATTATTGCTTCAAGTAATATTTTTAAGAGAATTAACACGTTCTAATTCAAATTTGACGAAAACCTTTTGCATTAGTTTATTTTTAGCATTTCCGAGTGCATTCCGGTGAACGGCCATACAAATGCATTTTTTGTAGTAAAAGTTTCACGGCAAGCAGTATTCTTCGTACGCATGTACGTCAACATAGCGGCGAAAAACCTTTTCAGGTATGTGTATTATTCTTTCTTCTCAAATCGCATTTGCATTATGATATAGTTAAAAACGAATAATAATTTAATTTCTGTTAAATTAATTTTTTTATTAATTACAATAAATAATAAGAGATCGAACAGTGCAAAAATCTAAACAAAGTTTTAAATTTAGATTCTGGGATTTTTTTTCATTTAATTTATCCATCAGTTAATTTAATTAACTGAGTAAGTTTTTTTATTATTTTAGATTATTTATTTATTACAATTGCTATGCATTGTAAATGTATTTGTTGTTTTGCTTCTAATTTTAATAATATCCAATCAATTTTCATTATTCCATTATATTTGTAAATTGAAATTATAGTGTGCTAATTGTGGTAAATCATTTGCATCACACGCAGCGCATGATAGTCACGTACGCAGAACTCATCAAGAACAAACGCAACTGCAGCTGCAGTTGCAACTACAACAACAGCATCTACAACAAAAACAACAGCAATGTAGTATTTATCGCTGTCAAATGTGTCAAAAAACATTCGAACATCAATTACATCTTAATTTTCATCAACACTGTGTTCACTCATTAACTGTTTCTTAAATTATTATCAATTGAAAAGAAAAAAATTATAAATAATATATCATTGTTTCATGTTAAGGTTTCCTTTTTTTTTAATTAAATGTATGAAAAATGATAATAATTAGAAATAATACCTCTTTTACGTTGGTTTACTTCTTATACCTTATTAAAAAAAAATATTATGATATATTTAATGGGCATTTATCATTGATATTATCAGGACATATCGCATTCCATAAATTGACTGCTTCTTGTTGTAATTGCACGGATAATTCTGTTGTGATATTATCGATAAGCTGTTGAATTTTCACCAGTGGAAAATCCATATTTTGTTGTAGTTTTATTATTTCAAAAAGAAATTTCTTAGCTTTAACAGTACCATTAATATTTTGAAGTCGTTTAGTAAGTATTTCATTTCGTTCATTTTCATAAATCATTTCTTCACCAATGAATTTATTGACTGATTCCTAAAATATATTAATATATTTCAAATTAGATTTCAATTTTAATGCTAAGCAACATTTTTTTCACATTCTTCTCTTGCTTTCTTTCTCCCTCACTTGCTTATTTATAAGCAATTATTTTAATTATCATTAATTTGTCAAAAAATTCTACGTAAAAAATTTCTACAAAATTAGTGTTCCTTTGTTTGCTAATTTCCCATATTTTAATCATTGATCAATCAAAAAAATATTTTTTAAAAGATCTGAATTTAATTTGTTGATAATCTTGCACAACTTTATTTGCTATTTTTTTTTATTTCTTTATTTTACACCAAAAACAAGTGTCATTTTATCACTTGCTTATTGTTGCAACAATTTTATATTATTAATAAAGAATAATTAATATTATATGCTTAGCGACACTATTTCATTTTCAAATTGCAGCAATTTAATCCTTTATATATATAAACTTCAGATTTATATTTAATTGAAATTATTCTCATTTTTTCTTCAATTTAATTTTAAATTAAGAAGTGAAATTTAGCAAATGAAATAATTAATAGTAGTATGCAATAAAGAGATGAAATAATTGATAACAATAACAAATAATTAGTAAATGAAGTAAAATAATAATAAATAATCAGTAGGTGAAATAAAATAATAAATAATTAGTAAATGAGACAATCATAATAAATAACTTACCAAAATGTTATATTTTCTACCAAATTCTTGTAACATACAATGAAACTGACATCTGGAAATATTTCTTTGTTCCTCATACAAATTACAGTAATCCTCTGTCCCATTTCGTGATAAATTCCATACAAAGGGTGGAAAATTTTCAACTTCCAATTGATCACATTTTGATTTCCAACCATCACATGTAAATAGGTGGCACAGCATAGCAAACAATAGCAATACCATTAATCTCACAACATAATTTATATTCATTTCTCTAATTTCAATTTCTTCAATTCAATTTCAATATTTTAATTCCTATAACGAAAAAAAAGCGAACACATGAGGAATATGAAAAATATTGCATTAATTAGTCAATCATGAATTAATTTTCATGAATTAATTTTCAATAAACCAAACTTTTTATTACTTGTTCTTTTCGTTTTGTTTTTCTTCAAATTAAATCATATTAATAAAAAAATTACCAACCAGAAAAAAGGGAAAAAAAAATAAAACCAAAATAAATTTGTGCAAAATTTTGAATTGCTTCATTAATTTTTTTTTTAAAAAAAAATAAAACCAAACTAAATTTGTGCAAAATTTTAAATTGTTTCATTAATTTTTTTTTTTAAAAAAATAGTCATTTACTGCTTCCCCTTTTTTTTTCTCTCCGTCTTTCCCTATACACTGTTTGAAGTAAAAAAAAATCAAAAGAAAAAAGCATGAAGTATTTAAATAAATGGGAAATAAATTCAGCAAATAATACATACAGATTTTAAAGTAAACCAAATATGGCTGTCTTTTATAATAATTGAAATGTTAATGAACAATCAATTATTTACCTGTTTGCAGTACATTAGAAAAAATTGGAATTTCAATTAAAATCAAATTGAAAATGAGGAGGAAAAGAAACAGTTGAAATGCTATAGTTTAAAAAAGAGCAGTGTATCATGTGTTATTACATATAATTCAATGAGAGATTATCCGATCTGTTCAATTTTAGGCTACAATAATTTAGAATCAGTAATAATTTCCCAATTTTAATGTTTTCATTTTGATGTTTCAATATGTCATCAATATTGAAAAGCTAGCTTATCCGGATTTATTTTCCAGTATTATTAATTTTTATGATGTAAAAATTTTTAAAAAATTCCAAATTGATAAAATTTTCTTTTTTTACAGACGAAATCTGAAATAATTTAAATCCGCTAATTTTAGGAAAAATAATCGACACTTTTTTCTCATTTCGTTTATTATTTTAAATTTCTTTCTTTCTTTTTTTTTGCTATTGAATTAGTATGATAAATTTAATGTTTGAAATACTTAAAGAAGATTTTATAAAAAAAGCCAGTCTTAAATGAATTAATTTTACAAGAATATCCCATAGTTATTTCAAATTATTTTAAAATTCATTCATGCATATGTATGAAAAAAGAAATTGTATAAATCAAATTTGCTTATAAAAACTTTTTTAATTTCTTTTACTTTTTCAAAATATATGACCATATATTTCTGTCAAATGTTAAATGGAAATTATCAAATTATATGTTAAAGTGAATAATTCATTTTACGCTAAAATTATTTCAGTAGTGATCAGGAGTCAGATAAATTTACTGTTTAGATTTTTTTTTATAGATCAAATATAAAATAAAAAATTGTCTCGTTTTTTCACTTTGAAGATATGAAAAGAAATAAATAATTCAGAAGTGATTTTGAAAAAAAAAAAAAAACAATAATAAAAATCGATGAAAATTTTTGTAATAATAATTGAAAAATTGGCAGATAAACGTCTTGAGAACATTTTTACGAAGCAGAAAAAATTCTTAAATTTGCTTTTTAATAATTGTCACAAAAATTTTGTTGAGAAGTTGCATTCCTACAAAAGAAATTATTCATTAATTAGCATAAATTTAGCAGTGGAATTGAGAAAAAATTTTTAAACAAAATAATTTTGTTTATCTTTTCAGTCAGGGAATCACAACAACACATGATTTTTGAGCAAAAATAAATTTAATATAATTGATTTTTAATGAAGCGTTAGCGATTTCTTTTCCTGCAAAATTAAAATGTGTGATAGAAAATTATTATATTTAATATATTTTTCATTTTTACTGTTTTTTTTTTCCATTTTTTTCTGTTTTTATTAATTCTATTTTAACTTTGATTTTTTAATTATTTGTTTATTTTGTATTTTTTGCAGTTGTTTTCAACTTTATTTGTATTTGCATAATTTTTTTTTATTCTTCTCCTGTTTTCTATTATTTTCAATTCCGTTTTAAAATTTTTTTTATTCTTTTACTATTTTCATTGTATGTACTACAAGTTTCTTTGCGCCAATATTAGAATTAGAAAGAAGTTATTCATGTGATAATTTGTTGCAAAAAAGAGGTAATGGTAAAAGATATTATATAATTAAATCTAAATAGCAAATTTTTTAATCAATTAGTGCATAATGTCAGTGCATAATGCATTTTTCTTTTTCTTCTTTTTCGATCAAAATATTTCTCATTCATAAATTAATTATAAATTAAAAAATAAAAATATTACAAGTTATTTGTAGGAAATGATAGATAGTGGAACAGTCGTTGGTTGGTGTTCAATTCGAAATTTTCAACAAACAACAATTGCAATCATTCCATATCTTTTACTAACATTATTATTTTCAATTATTTCAGCAACAGTATGCGGAAATAGATCACGGTAGTGAGGTTTTATTTATTATTAACATATCATAATATTTATTATGAAGTTCTGAAATGGAATTAATTATGTAATAATATTTGAGCAAAAGATTATGATACATGATTTGAATAAGCTTTATAATTATAATTAGACCTAAAGATTAAAACATTTCAATGAATGAATATTACAGCGATGAATATCCAGAAAGTGAAGAATATTCATACATGTCGAAATCAGAGGAAAATTATCAAAAGAATAAAGATATGCAGAAGATATGGTTAGAGTTAGCAGTTGACATGTGTCAACAGTTGTCATCATTTTTGCTTATTTATTTGTAAAATCAAATTACAGCACCGATATAATTGAACATTTAAAAATTTGATCCCGTCAGAATATGCTATCACCAATATGACTGATAATCGATAACTGAAAAATACTCCTTCACTTTATTTGATCTTTAAAGTGAATTCTTTTTGTCCTTGTACCGTTCTATCATAAATTTAGTTCAAACTTGAAATACACAATTTTTTAATGTGAATTTTTTCTTTAGCGTGAATCCAGATATAAGTATATTCTAAATTTCATTTGATTTTAAAAAAGACATATACAATCTCAAGATTTCATAAATTAACGAAGAAATATGGCTGGTCAATGAATTCAGTTGATCTCAATTTTACAAAAAAAGGAAAAAAAAACCCAGTAACGACTCACTCTTAAAAAATGAAACAATAATTACCTCACGTAATTAATAATTTTTGCTAATTAACTTACGCCCATATTAATTCTTGCTAACTCACACTTCTATACTGTTATGTGTCACATTAGTCTTTGATTCTGAAAATGATGTGAATTTTAGCATGCAAAAGCTACCAGCACCAATATCTATAACAAGTGTCCCAATAGAAAAAGATGCTCAAATTCCTGAATCTGTTATCACCGAAGAAATCTTTGTTCCTATTGGAAAATCATCAAGGTAAAAGCAAATGAACCTTTTAAAAATTATTTTAATACAGCTTTAAAATTTTCGAATGCTTACATGTCAGAAGGAAGAAAATAGCGAAAACTATCTGTTTCCTCTTTTTTCTAATGCTTTATATTATGTATGTATCATTAATTTCATAATGCTAAATATTGTTGAAAATATCGATAGGACGATATCTAGTCATAAAAGCCGATTGTTAGAGAAAAGCGTCAATTTTCAGAGATCCTTTACCTTCAAAAGGTGTAATGACTGCAAATAGGAATAAAATAACAGCACAAACTGGAACACCACATACAAGAATACCGACAGGTATACGATTTACGGAGGAGCGACACCGATCACGTACGATCAGTATTTTCAATGAGCAGAAACCAGAGAAATGAATGTGCATTGTAATTCAACACCATGCATTATATGAAATATCTTATTTCTAAGAAATTTAAATGAACATATGGATAATAAATAATTAACAAAATGTTTCTCAGTCTCTTTCAGCGATAGCGTTCAAATGATGATCAACCTCTGTATTTGGCAGTTTCCTGAAAATATCTTCTTAAACATGAAACATAATTCTGCGACCCATTCTTGATTTTTTTTTCTTTTTTGGTCCTCACCATCTCAAGTTATTCTCATGTTTTACTTCGCCAGTATTTCAGTACCTGAATTTTTTGTTATCTTTTGTAACAACGGCAACCTCAACTTCTGATGCCTTCAAATCAACGCCCAAGGATGATTGCAAACATTCAAGAGCTAGCTGAAAATAGCAGAGTTACTGATGTTACTTTCAAATAAATTTAAGCAGATGATCATAGCTAATATTTTCAAAAAAAAAGATATTATAGATAGCTAAATCCAACTAATAAAGTAACTAAACAAATGCACATTTACAACAACATCACTCTATTCGATTATCAATGAAATAACTTTTATAACTGACATTACGCTCTTATCTATTTTTGTAACATGGTAGAACATACCTGCACTGTACCTTCGTAATCGTAATCAGTTTTTTTCTTGAGCTTTTTCTCCAGAAAACTATTTGCAGGTTGTTGTTTTACACCAACACCAACACCACGCATTCCTCGATAATAACCAGCTGGATCTACGCGAAATATCTGAGGTCCCTCCTCATCATCATATGAGATCAGCAGCATAACTATAATCATTAAGCTATTATTAAATCTATACAGACCGAAATAATTATTTCATTTATTTGATAAAGCTATTGCACATTACATGTTCCCAACATATTATATGTTGCTTAGATTATCTATATACATTCCAAAAATATAGCGATAAAAATGGAAACTGGCAATAAAATTATTAGAAACAATAGAATAATGCGTTACATGAGAAATAAATTTCTCAATTTCTTTACATTTACATCAAAATGAAATGATGTCCATATATGCCTAAGAAATTAATCTAATTTAACAGTCACATACCACAACCCAATGAACGTAACTCAGCATTCTGAGTATAATACTGATTGAGATCAGCCATTCTCTTACTAAGCTGCTCTACCGACATGTTGTAACCATTCTTGTATTTCCATTCCGCT